AGATAGATAGATAGATAGATAGATAGATAGATGATGGAGATAGGATAGGAAGGTACATAGGTCGGTAGGTAGGTATTTAAGGAATAAGCTTGTCTAGGAGAGTGGCCTTGCTGAATCTATGATGATGAGAAAGATTTTATTTTATTTATTCGTCAAACAGAAATTACAAATTTGAACAAACAAATTGAAAAAAACTAAAATGTGGCAAGGACAACTGGCATGTTCGTGCACTTATGCAGGTGCCCTTAGGAGCCTCTTAAAGTATAGGGTGAGGTCCCCAGAAGTTAAATATCAAGTTGTTACTGAAGAATTTTGTGGTGCTTTTACTTTTCTGTGAGATTTATAGACATTTGCAGCAAGGTGCTTTCACTCCGAGGTCTGTCAGAAGCCCAGTCAGCTGGGAAAAGATTTACAGCCAGGAAGGCATCAACACTGAACTGAGGAAAAAAATATAAAAACCATGCAGTTCAAGATGCGGCCATTTCCAGCCAATGAGGGGCCATCTGAGAAAACTGGGGCTGGGTGGAGAGCCAATGAAACAGCGGAGCCCCCCAAAGTGGGTAACCAATCGGCCGTTTTGGCGGGAAACAAAGGGCTATAAAAGGGGCAGCAGGCAAGGGCATCTCTCAGAGAGCTGAAGAGGAGGGAGGAGGTGGCAGGAAGGGCAGCCCTGAGGGGCCAAAGAGCTGAATCCCCTCCAAAGGCACCCAGTCACTCCCTGCTGAGCCCCTGAGCAACTGGGGCAGCTGAAGCCCCCGAAGGCTGAAGTCCTGAAGAGGCCAGAAGGGCTGGAAGAGGCCAGAGCAGCAGCCCTGAGGGGGAGCCAAAGGGGCAGAAGTCACTCCCGGCTGGGCACCTCGGGCACCTGGAAGCCCCTCCAGGCTGAAGTCTTGAAGAGACCAGAAGGAGCCAAAGAGCTGGAGGTCCAAAGGGGCCAGAAGGGCCTGAAGAGACCAAATAAGCAGCCTAGAGGGGCCAAAAGCTTTTGCTGGAGTCACTGACAAGTGAGCTGGATGTCCATATAAATTAAATAAAAATATGAATAAAAATAAGCTGCTGGGGAGGGAGTGGGAGGCAAAAGAGGTGCACACACCCCCCCCCCTGCAAAAGGAGGCCCAAAGGCCAGAGCAGCAGCTCTGTGGGACCATAGAGCTGAAGCCCCTCCAGATAACATCTGGGCTGGAGGCCAGGAGAGGCCAGAGAAAAGGCGTCTGACCTGACATAATCCAGACTGAAGGGCAGGGGGGCTCTGAGTGGCCAAAGAGCTGGAGGTCCATAAGACCAGAAGGGCCAAATTAGCAGCCCTGAGAGGCCACATAAGCTGCCCTCCGCCTTAAAGAGGCGCCTGGGCTTGAGGGTCTGAGGGGCAAAGCCCCCCCCTCCACTGACTTTGAGTTGGAGGAAGAGGAGGACCAGCCTGCTCAGCCAAGGACCCTGTGAGCCTCTCTGGGGAGGGGGTGCTGCAATGAACCCCCCTTCCCCGCTGTCCTGCTACTACTACTGCCTTCCCGAGAGGTAGACCTGCTGGGCCAATCTGATTCCTCCCGGAATCCTGCCAACAGTTTATGTATTGCTAACTCACTGAGTATCTAAAAAGCTTTGAGGAACAAACTCTTGCACAACCAAGCCAAAATCCTGGACAAGCTTCCCTTTACTTTCGTTCTTTGAGCTGCCCTTTGAAACCCCTAAAAGAAGCTTAGCTCAAGACTTTCCAAATATTGGGAGAGGGGTCCCCCCAAACTTGACACCTTGAAGACTTGTGGGCTTCCAACTCCCAGAATTCCTCCTCCTCCAGTCATGTCAGCTCAGGAATTCTGGGAGTTGGAAGCCCACAAGTTTTACAGCTGCCCAGTTTGAAGAGCCTCGTCCTGGGGAAAAACCTCACTTCTCCAAAGTTTAACTTCAGGGAATAATAACAGTTGAAGGCGGGGAAGGAAGGGAAGGACAGGAGGCCCGGCCTGTTTCTTCCGGGGACAAACCAGGAGTAGGAAATGTGAGTTTTCCCTGCAGGAACACAGTTTGGAGGGAAAAAGATTTCCAAGCCCAATGGCTGAAAAGGGGAATGGAGATCCGGGCCGTTGCGGGGAAGCCTTTGGCTCCAGATTTGCCGATCGAATCTGCTGCTGGGGAGGAAGATCTCTGGGGGGGGGGGAATCCAAGCGGATCCAGGCAGCTGTTCAACAGGTTCAACTCCCCCCCCCCAACTCTACAAAAACTCATTTCCAGAGGGACGGGGGGTGGTGGTTAAATAGACCCTCCAGGCGCTAGTCCCTAAGAAACGCGCAAAAGGAAGAGAGAGAAAGAGGGAGAAGTCCGTGCCTTCCTTACCCGATGACGTAGGCCAAAATAGCCAGCTGGACCAGCCGGTTCATGAGCCCCACTTTGCGGCTCTTGATGGACACGATCCTCGGGGTGTCGTACTCGAAGAGGAAGCTGTAGAGGGGCCCGCAGCGCGTCCAGGGGCTGCCCATGGCTGCCGTCCGCTCGGGAGAAACGCCGGGAGCAGCAAGCCGGAGCCTCCCCGCCGCCCGCTCGCCCGCCCCAGCTGGCAAGAAACGCCGGGCTGTCCTCCGATTGGCTGCAGGGGGAGAAGCCTTGCATGGCAAAAAGGCTCCCCTGTTTGAGCAGGGGGGGTTGGACTAGAAGACCTCTGGGGACCCCCCGGCTCGGTTAGGCTGTTAAAGGGGCTTCCCACCCGCCCGACCACCTTTGCCTGCGGGCCAGTCGCGGTGCAAAGCCAGGCGGGGTGTTTCCCCCCCGTCCCCCCAGAAGCGTCTCCGTGCAAACGTCGCTCAGCATCTCCGAGGACAAATAACGCGCAATGCTCTTCTTATCCGACCACGATTGCAGCCGGGGGGAGGCGGGTGGGAACGGAAGCCCCCCCCCGCCCCTTCCGCAGGGGGTTAAGAGGGCCGAAGCTGCGCCTCGCTTCCAAAGCAGAATTGGCCTTTTAACGGAAAGCCCTTAAAGAGATCAAAGGTAGCTCCGTTTCCTGGAGGCAAAAGCCATGTAGGCAGCATGGTTGCTAGTAGCACAGAACCCGGCCCAAAATAAAGTTGGTACCCCAAAATACACAGCGAGGGTTTTCTGAGCTGTAAATCCTCCCTCGGTAACTCCAGAGCTGGTCACTGTTTTTATTTTATTTGATTTATTGGATTTGTCAATCGCTTACAAGATAACAGGTATAAGTATATACAGAGTTATGAATACATGAAATGGGTACATATAAGAAAAATAAAAGAAAGAATAGGACAGGGACGGTTAGGCACCTTGGTGCACTTATGCACGTCCCCTACAGACCTCTTAGGAAAGGGGTGAGGTCAATAGTAGACAGTCTAAGGTGAAAGTTTGGGGGCTTTGGGGAAGAAACCACAGAGTCAGGTAGAGGATTCCAAACATTGACCACTCTGTGGCTGAAGTCGTATTTGGTGCGGTTAACCTTGAGTTTGTATCTTTTGTTTGCTCTTGTGTTGTTATGGCTGAAGCTGAAGTATTCAATGACAGGTAGGACATTGCAATGTATGATTTTACATACTATACTTAGATCGGACCGAAGATGGCGTAATTCAAGGTTTTCTAGGTCTAGAATTTCGAGTCTGGTGCCATAAGGTCTTCTGCAACGAGTAGAGGAGTGGAGAACTCTTCTTGTGAAATATTTCTGGACTTTCTCTACTGTGTTACTGTCAGACACATAATGCGGGCTCCAGACTGATGAGCTGTATTCAAGTATTGGTCTAGCAAATGTTTTGTATGCTCTAGTTATCAGTGTGATATTACCAGAGAAGAAGCTATATAGGATTAGATTAACTGTGGCTCACCAGTTCATTAACTAACGTTAAGGTATCACACAAGTTGCTAAGCTGGAATTTAATCGGGCCGCCACATAAACCAGCAACTTAATGAGGCTGCAAATTTTATGCATGTGCTAATTGTAAAATAATTGTTCGGCCTCAATTCTTACGCACATTTGCTTGGTGGTTCAGCCTGACTCTGCTGCTTATTTTAATGCAGAATCGATATGGATCAAGAGAGCCATTCAGATCCCAGGTAGGCTGTACTTGTGGACCAATTCTATAGGGAAAACCACATAGGTCCTTTTAGGAGAGCAAAACAGAACTGGACTAGTCAAGCCTTCAGTTGGCTTTTAAGTCTACCCCCATGAAAATGCCAACTGGAATTGCTGGTTTACTACAAAGTAGTTAATCTTTCTTGTTTCCTCACCACCACCACCATCTCCATCATGCTTTACAATTTCTTTGTCAGTTGAAATTAAGCACACACAGAATTTTTTATTCGTTCTTATAAATTTAATTTCCTTTTGTGCAATGCACAGAGAATTCACATGAGCACATTGTATAAAAAGTGTACAAAATCTGCAACAGTATATAATCTTTAAGTGTTATGTCACTTAAATGTTATGTTCGTTTCATTTGCTTCTGATAAAGAAAACCACTTGAAATAACTTGCTGGACCAGCTTGTGCACTAGAAGAGGAACAGGCCATCCAAATGATTAAAAAAACAAAAACAAAGCACAGTAATTTGTGAAAAAATATGTGGGGATAAATCTCTTGATGTGTAGACTTTTTAGTTACCAAAGTGGTGTTAAAAAATGAAATCGAATGGAAAAGTCGTTTTATGCTAACCCAGCCAGAGATTTATCAGATATGGCATCCCTGCAATTCACAAAATTTCTAGACAACAAAGAAGCATTTCCCAGACATATTCTGTGCACTAAGAACAGTTCTGCGCTGTCCTTTCATCATCTATATCTCCCTTCCTTCTAAATGGAGATGCTGAACCTGAGGCGTTTTGCATGGAAAATATCTAGGCTTTGAAGGCTATTTAAAATGGGAAGATACCAATGTTGAAAACTAAAGTTATTTCCTCCCCATTTCCTGAGAAATGAGTTATGGGGAAAAAAAATTGAAAAGACAGCTGAGTTACCGAAAAAGGAAAGTGCAAGTAACTTCAAAACAACATGAAGAAAACCATCTTTTTAAAAATAAACAAGGGGAGGTTTTTAAACAAAGGTGGCTTTGTGTTGGGATCAGCCAACCAAAACGACCTGGATTAGCAAGGGAGCCCTTTCACACCTTGTAAACCACAGCTGTGTTTCTGGGGAAAAAAATAAACAGGTTCATTCGTAGTTTGGCTGCCTAAGCATGAGAAATCTGGGCCGTTTTCAATGTTTTTTTTCCAATCCTGGCTCTCTCCTGATATCCCAGTGAGGTAGGCAAGGATAAGCAGGGGAAAGGAGGCACAAAGCCTTCCGGTGATTTTCATGGCTGAGCTGGGTTCGAAACTCTGCTCCCCTCAGACCTTATCCAATAGTATAAACATTGTCTAGTTAAAGAGCCAAGATGATGGCAGGGCCACAAAAGGCGACTTCTGAAAAGCAGGAGGCAAAGCTGATTAACTGGCACACCCTTAACGTATCCACCCTCAACGCCGTAACACAGAGGTGCAACCGACGGTTACTTCTTCTTCCCAAAACCGCGGTATTCCCCGTTCTCGCTTGGAAAGGCATCTCTGATTCGCCACCGGCAACAATTGGGGATCACAGCCCGGGCACCCAGGTCACCCTCGCCAAAGCGCCAGCGAATATACTGCTCGTAAGCGCAGTGCCGGAAGGGTTTACGCCCAGCACCTGTCACATCCAATAAGGGATCTTTGTAGAGGAGAGCGAACTTCAGCACGGGTTCGGACAGGACGAGTTGCACAAACAAAGGCGAAGTGGTGACGCAGGGCCCGTCGGTTTTTCGGCAGCAGAGCCGTTCCCAAATAAGATCTGCCGGCCGGCACTTTCCGCAGCAGCACCAAGAAGGACCCTCCCTTCGGTTTTGGAGGAGCTGCAGCTCTTCTGGGTTTTGCGGGGAGATGGTCCGGTCCCAATACGGAAGTCGGGAAGACTGCATAAAATCGCCTTGGTGCTTCTGTTGGCGAAAAACATCATATTGGTCGGTGGGTGGCGGTTCTTCTCCGAAGGGAGATGCTTGGAAAGGAAGGGAAGTGGGATCGTGTGCCATTTAAGAACAAAACCCTTCCGTGCAACGCAACAGCGTTTCAGCCCCACTTTTTCAGGGATTTGGGAAGATCTTTGGCTAATCTGGAGTAGCAGGAAGGCCGAATAGAGTCCTTTTCTAAATGGCTGGTGCTCGGATTACCGTTCTCAGCATGAGCCACAAAGAGCCTCGTAGGTTGTGGCTTAACCCCAGTTGTGTGTCATCCAGATCTAAACACAGATTCATCTCAAGCCAACTCTTTATAAAACGTGGCTGAAATTGGTTCCTTTAAATTAAGATTACCTGCAACGTTAAGCTTGGAACAACACAGCAAGTAGCTGTGATTGAAAATGAGAATGGTGGTCACTGGAGAAGAGAGACACAACCATGACAATCCAAGCTTTTAGTGTGTTGTTAAACTGTGGCTTTAAGCCTTGGGGTGCATTTAATCGATTCCCAAACCTCTAGGCTGGTACCCCCCGGCCGATAGCTGTGCAAACCCCAATTAACGAATTCCAAACTCACGTCAATAATCCTGCCCTCATTGGTCTGCAAACTGGTCTCCGATAATTTGTCGATCATTAGGATGCCAGGCTCATCAACAAAGGTCACGTAAAACAAAGTCTGTCCAGATTCCAGCCAAAGAAAACCAAAGGAATTACAATTTAGTATTTTACTGGGTAGATCTGATATTCCACTAATTATTAACAGCTCAAAATTCCACCTTGCATCAATGCAAGAAAACTATTTCTCAGGATGGCAAAAACAGAGGCGGGGGAAAGGATATTCTGTATATATCATAACTTGTATCATATCTGCATGCATTACCATATCTCTCCCTTCTAGCACTGATGATGTTGCCTAGTTGGGTCATGAAAGGTCTGCAAGAAAACCACTAAGCTCAGAGAGCACCAAGGACCTCACAGTCTTCCTCCTCCTCTCCACAAATCCCACTCCCTTCAAGCACTGATGATGTCCCCTAGTTGGGTCATGAGATGACTGCAAGAAAACCATGAAATTCAGAGAGCACCAAGGACCCCACAGTACAATTCTGAGCTACATGGGTGCTGCATATCAGTGGTGATGTAACAAGTATTTATCCATCACTGTCTGTATTGCCTTGAAGCCATTAGTAAGTTTATAGGCCACAGGATATTAAAACCATAACATGGTCTGTTCATTTTGTAAGGGAAGAGTTGAGATCCCCACCTGATGCTAAGCAAGACCCTTGTCCATAAGGAATGAGAACACATCCAGAGGTGGGATTCTACCGGTTTGCACCCATTCGCTAGAACCGGTTGTTAATGTTCTATGCAGTTCGGAGAACTGGTTGTTAGAAGAAATTACTGGGCTAATCCTGTAAGGAAGGCAGGAAGGAAACGTTCTGGTGTTGCTTACAGAAACTGCCTCTCTGTTAACCCTTATTGCATTCTTGGCAAGACTAGACTTCCTGTCTCTGGAACTTCTCTGGAGTTTTTTTTCCCTCCTTTGCTAATACTTTACTTGTGTGGAGTGACCATTCAAAGTTACAATGGCACTGAAAAAAGTAACTTATGACCGTTTTTCACACTTACGACTGTTGCAGCATCCCCATAGTCATGAGAGGCCATGAGGAGATGCGTGCCTCGATGTGAGTGATATTGAGTTGGCCACGCCCAGCCAATAACATGACCACCAAGCCACGCCCCAACCACGCCCCAACCACCTAAGCCACGCCCACAGAACTGGTTGTTAAAAATGTTGAATCCCACCCCTGAACACATGTCACATTTAATCATAACTCTTACATATCTTGGTCCCAGCACCTCCTGACACTTTTTATTGTAATAATACTCCTTCACTGGATCAGGTTTGCAACAGCAGGACATAGGAGAAGTGAGCAGACAATCTACTGCTAGCTGTGCCTATAAAGGGAAAAAAAACCGGCAGGATTGTACAGTCTGTTCTTCTAAACACAGAACAAATTTGTAGAATGGTTTTTGAAATTTGGAAACCAGGTATTAGAACCGTTCAACAAAAGCATCCAAAGCTGTTTTTCGAGACAGCTCAGGCGGTCATCCAAATATCAGCACAAAGACCTCCACCCTTAAAACCTGAAGCAAGACATTCACCTCTGAATTCGCCCCGAGACCCTGCAGTAGGAAAGTATCTTACCAGGCCGAAGTAGGAGAGCACTGATCCAATGTACACCACCATCTCAAAGAAGTCAAACTTCCCAGCCTTTGGAAAATGAGAGCAAAAGTGATGACCATCATGTCAGAAGGGTGCCACATTAGGGAAAACTGCGAGGATCTTTCCCTTGCCTTCTCAGGGATACAGGTCCTCCTCGACTTCCAACAAGAACCAGGACGTGTGGCGTTTCCTCTGAGTAGTTCCTTTCTTCTTTCTCACCCGTAGACAGAAATCTTACCAAACTTAACACGGACTATTTGCATCATGAAAGATCTACTCTTGAGAACTTATAAGGAAGAGCCTTCTTTACTCTTCCAACTATCTGATCTGTGTTGCCTGTTGGTCCTCTGGAACACAGCCCCTCCCTCCTTTCCTGGGAATCCAGACTACATTCCACTGCACCAATGGCAGTTCCCACCCGAAGGAGAGGGAAGTGGGAAATATTCAGGATCAAGACTTTAAGAAGATTTAAATTCTCCACATGGGCTGCTAGAGACACACTCCAATTGGGATCTCCAGCCCAGCAACTGACTTACAATCCCACCCAGAGTGGAGAGAGGGTTATTCCTCATTGGAATGATGTGAAGACCTAGGGAAGAAAGCCAAGTGGCGTTTACCGTGCCAAAGATGAGGATGTCGAAACGGATGCCGTAAGCTTTGATCAGGGTCCTTTCCTCCCTTCCACCCGGCTGCTTGTAATACCTGGCAAATCTGGAACAAGCAGACAGGAAGAATTGTTGTACTGTCAGGTTCCTCTGAACTCGATTGTTTTCCTGCAGACGTCTTAATACCAGGCTAGGTAGCATCATCAGTATGGTGGCCCAAGCACTCAAAAGAAGACCCGAGGTGGGATCTATCTGCTGACTGTAGGGGTGCCATGATGGTCCTAAGTGCGAGGACCAGACATAAATCATTTTTTTCAGTGCCGCTGTAGCTAAACAAATGGCTGTTGAGGTCCAAGGTACCTCCCAACTCTGTTCTTAGGATCATCACGTGGAAAAAATAAAACAGAACCTTGAAGATCCTCCCTCCTGATCTGTGACAAAATCACGAGGACTTGAATATCCGTTACCTAAAGTTGTAGCCAGGGTACAAGGCTTCATTGGCTCGTTTGTCATCCAGGCGCCGGAAACCGTAGTTGGGGCTGCAACGGTGGCCCCATTTGTCCAGGTTACAATCCCAGTTAATTTCAATGCCAATGATGCCTCCCTGGGAGAAGATCGTCAGGGAAGTAAATTTGCAAGATGGATTGACCAAGAGAGAGAGAGAGAGAACTTTTAGCAAGCCTTCCTTATTTTCCCCATTTTACAGGCTTTCTGCATGTGAACAAATTGCATTTGCTGCAGCAGCTTGGCAACTTTCTCTTGTCAATTTTTCAAAAAAAAAAAAAAAAGGAAGACAACTTTAAATTTGGTTTGAGTTCTTCTTTTCGCAATCGAATTCAACATTTGCCCTTATTAACTCAGTCGCCCAACTAACAGCAGCAAAATAAATAAATTTTAAAAAAATCAACAAGTCCTCTGGCCACTTTCAAAATGCCACCCACCTGAACGGCCACCTCTGAAAACTTCTCTCCTGCCTCTTGAAGAATGTCCCTCAGACGAAAAATGGGGCAAAGTGGAGCTTTGTGCTTGTTGTATGTACAGGAAATATTAAATTTCGGTGGAATATTTGTTCTGCAGGGAACAATTAGAACAATCTATCAGTGGAAGGACTTGCATTCAGAAGTTGTGATACTCTAACACTGGATGTTTGTAAGAAAAGATTGGACAGTCCTTTGTCCAAAATGGTAGAGGTTCTTCTGCTTGAGAAGCGGGCTGGACTAGAAGATCTCTAAGCTCCCTTTCAATTCTGCTATTCTGTTGTATTATTCAGAAAAGGAGCAGTTTTATCATCCTAAAGAAACAAATGTATATTTTATGAAGCACAGGGTGTCGGAAGACCAAGCATAGATGCTCTTTCAGGAATTTAATGGTTAACACTTATTTCTATTTTGTGGCATGTCCACCCATGCAAACACAGATTCTAGAAGCTCCAGCACATCTTAGCAAATGATCAGGGATCGATTTCCCAGGAAGAGAATACGAGAGTCCCTCCCTTTGAATACAGCCATCCCAAGCCAAGCCCACTTACGTTGTATAATCGAATTTTGGGAAGTGGATGTTGTTTTTTATAAGCACGGTGAAATTCTCAGCACTGTCCAGAATGGCTGGCCTGGAAGGATGAAAAGATCCAAGTCGTTTCTGACTGATTAAATAGTCACGATCACCACTAGGCAATGTAATCATCTTAGCTGGGGAGCCTGGTCAAGAGGCTGGACATTGGGGTCTGCAAAATGCATGCCAGAGACCCGATTGGTTCAAGGATGTCTTCAAGGATGGCCCTCAAAAATGCCCTGCAGTTATTTATTAAGGCAGGGCTATTCAACCTTGAGAACTTTGCGGACTTCAACCCCCAGAATCCTAAGGCTTGTGGACTTCAACCCCCAGAATCCTAAGGGCTTGTGGACTTCAACCCCCAGAATTGTAAGGCTTGTGGACTTCAATTCCCAGCATCGTAAGACTTGTGGACTTCAACCCCCAGAATCCTAAGGCTTGTGGACTTCAACCCCCAGAATCCTAAGGCTTGTGGACTTCAACCCCCAGAATCCTAAGGCTTGTGGACTTCAACTCTCAGAATTCTAAGACTCATAGACTTCAACTCTCAGAACTTTCAGTCTTATGGACGTCAACTCCCAGAATCCCCCCCGCCAGCCATGCTCTCTTGAAGTTCCCAAAGTCGGACACCCCTGTACATTAAGGCAACTAAACAGGGAAGGAGACGTCTTGGATCAAAATTCAGGACAGACTGAAACAGGATACAGGAGCAGCTGAGAAAAGCACCTACGTTGGAGCGGCTTTAGTTGACTCCACAGGACACCAAGCAGAGACTTCACACGTGTTGATGGTTCTGTTATATTTCACACACTTGCCCGTCTGGATGCCTACCGAGGGAAGAGACCCCCATCTCATCAAGGACCCTTACCTGGAGGCCAAACATTTCGTCGGAAAGGAATTTCAAACGGCGAGGGCGAAAAGGAGTCTTGCTTACCATTACCCTGTGGGTCCACTCGACCTTTCATGCAGCTTTTGTCGGTTGTACATACTGCTTTGGCAAAAGGAAACTGAAAGCATAAAACAGGGAAAAATACATCTAGCACAAGATTCCATTTCAGTCTTCCAAATTCACAACCTCAACTTTTTAGGCTTATCAGTTTCTCTCTTTCTCCTAACAAGTTGCATCCGGATAATATTTTCCTATTATCCCGCTTTTTCCATGACCTAGTTTTTCCACCAGGACGGCTCCTCTGGAGTAGCTTATCACAACAGATCTCTTCACAGGTTGGTCTTCTCTCAAATTCCCCTACAATTCACAAAACGCCCTTGTTTTCCACAGCCAACTTATAAACAGGTATAAACTGACATAGCCCAGAGCCTATTTGCCAATTTTCTAGCTGATGGGAAGGAAATAAATCAAAAATATCTTGCCAAGAAGAACGTTGGACTAGTCACGACCTGCTTCGCGCTGTTTATAAACCAGGGAAGTGGGTGGAACACACAAACTAGTACATTATTATATCCCTAGAAATGATTTAAAATTAAATACAAACACATTTACCAAAAATAAATTGCTACCTTTCACCTATTTCACTAAATATTAAGGTCAGGTATGAAATGTTGACTTTGGGTTTTACTGATTGGATAAATTTGTTGCTATAGAAATGGTCAGTACCAATTAGTATGTAATAATAAAAAGTTTGCCTTAAAAGCAAAAAAAGTTTGCCTTCATTCCTAAAAAGTTACGTTTGTAATGCCATGTTACCATCTGCGCTAAAAAGACCTAGAAGTCACTTTTTCTTTCTTTTTTTCCCTTTTTTTCTAGATTACACTTCTTCCTTTTCCCTTTTATCTCTCCTGTTTTTACCACTTTTAAAATTTGTTTTGCATTTAAGCTCTTGGTAAACTTAATACAATCATTATTAATTTTTATTTTTTTAAAAACAGAGCAGGTATGAAACGCTGGTACCTCGGGGCAAAGTCTTTGAGTCTGATTTTCGGTGGTGATGATGTTAGTCAGCACAAAAAAGGAATTCACACCCTAAACGAGCGAAAAGAGAAAGGAAAAAAGTGAATTTAAGTTGGTCTGCTGAAAAACAAATCCATTGCAACGACTTTTTAAGATCTTCTGTGGATTCTTTCGAAAAGAAGCCCAGGAGGACGAAAATGCCAGGTCATGAAGAGGGTTGGGGGTTATCTTTTTTCTCACTACAATTTAGGGGAAGAGAAAGAGGGGTGCCCCCAAAAAATTCTAGGAGAAATTTGGGGTCAAGGTTATGGTAATACAACTCTCAGGCTCAACTCTTTGCTTCACTGCTTCTCCTGATAGTTTTCTCCTCTGGCTTTCCGAAAAAGGACTTAATAATAATAATAATAATAATAATAATAATAATAATAATAATAATACTTTATTTGCGGTCACAGACTAAGACACAAGTACAACAAAAGAAGAACATTGGAATATTAATCATGAACAATTGGTCACCTGCCCAGGGATGGTATATTCGGCTGTATCCCAAACTCTGTTCTCAGTCTGGGACACCCCCTTCACCTTCACATGCATCGAGCTGATGACCGAATCTTTCTTCTGGTAGCGTCGATCAGCCAACAGGACGATGCTGAAGAAACACAGCGGAAAAGATTTGAGTGGGAAGGTTTGTTTTGTGCCCATGTCACAGAGGGGGTAAACTGAGGTTTAGAAAACTCTCGATTGTCCGTTCAAAGTGGAACAGATCTTGCTTCAGCAAAACATTTTAAGCAAGCTCAGGGAGCACCAGGGACCCCGCAGTCATTGTCCCCCTCCTCTTCCTCCTCCTTTTCACAAATCCCACTCCCTTCTAGCACTGATGATGTTCCCTAGTTGGGTCATGAAACGTCTGCAAGAAAACCACCCAGCTCAGAGAGCACCAAGGACCCCTCAGTTCTCCTTTTTCTTATTCTCTTTTTCCTTCTTTCTGCAAACTCCACTCTCTTCTAGTACTGATAATGTTACCTAGTTGGGTCGTGAAACGTCTGCAAGAAAAGCACCCAGCTCAGAGAGCACCAAGGACTCCACAGTTCAACCCCGAGCTACAAATCTTCTCTTCTATTCCTAATGTAAACAAGATTCCGAGATTTGTGGATTGTTATGCATTCATTTGGCCTGGACTAAAAGCCAGAGGCTGGGTCTTTCAGAGTGACTGGTTACATCCATGTGGGTGGAAAGTTCACCACCAACCGAAGTCACAAAGCTGGACATTGTCTTCTGATAGCTGGAGGAAAACAGCCTCCCCTTGGAAGCCAGGGGATCCCATAAAAGCTTTCTAGATCATTCCAACCTTCTTTTGCTCAACTCAACGAAGACATGTCTCCATTCTTAAGAATCAACTTCTTTCAACACTACTTGAAAATCCATTTTTTTTTCCACGTTCTGTTCAGCCCGCCATCAGAAATCATAGCAACAACACAATGTACAGTGTGTAACTTGAGAAAGTTTGGATACCCTAAAAACGAATGTACGAGATTTTTCCACCGCAAGAGATTCCCAACAATTTCTCTTATTATATTTGGGGGCAGCAAAGTCTGTGTATGTATATATGTATCTCTTCTCGTGCTTGGACACAGGGTTGGACTACAAGGTCCCGTCCAACTCGGTTATTATTCTGCATTCTGTATCCTGCACTCACAACATCTTCCATGCTGGTGGATCAAAGGAAGTTAGTAGATTGAAAATTCCTATCAAAACAGTAGCATTTACAGCCCATTTTTGAGCGGAAACTCTTACCACGGTTGTTATTTAAGATACTGATGTGGAAAGGGGATACCCGGCAACCTAATTCTCCCGCTATGCCTCCCTTCCCCACTGATTTACCCAAATCTTCCCGTTCCAACTTACCTAACATACAGGAAAACCATAAAATGGATTATCGACTTTAGGCTCCCGTACCAAACACTGTAGATGCGCACCACTCTGTTCGTTTCGAATTCGAACACGCTCCTCAGGCATGAACAGGCTGCCATCCTGGAAGGAAAAGAACAAAGATCTGTCTTCTGCTTTTCTGTTCTGCCCAGGAAAAAGAAAAGTGCAACTCCTCAGCCCGGAGCCAGGAAGAACAATTACAAACCACAACCCCCCAAATCTTAAAGGCACAGCAGAGGAAATGAAAGACTGGCAAGTCTTTCCAAAGAGCAATTCCTTTTCCCACCCCCCTCTCTATTCAGGGTTGTCAGGAGAGGGAGCCATTAAAAGCGTTTTATTTGTGGAAAAAGCGTCTTCTTCATTAAAGGGGTTTGATTTGGAGCTGTAATTCCTGGGTTCATGGGAAGGAGAGGCGCTTTCCCTTGCATCTTGGTAGGAAATTAGCTGTACACCAGGGGTGTTGAAGTCTGGCAACTTTAAGACTTGTGGACTTCAACTCCCAGAATTCTCCAGCCAGAACTGTGTTCAACTTCCAGAATTCCCCAGCCAGGAATTCTGGGAGTTGAAGTCCACAGGGTAAAATTTGGCAAGCTTGCACCTCCCTCCTGTACAGTATCTATCTATCTATCTATCTCTCTCTCTCTCTCTCTCTCTATCTATCTATCTGAGACACCCCTTTTATTCTGCACTTTCTTGTTCTCCAATTTCAGCTAAAGTCTTTTGAATGCAAATCCGGGGAGCGGGTGCGTGAATCCAGATCCGATGGGGGTTTCTGCCCAATTTGATTTGGGAAATCCCAATGAGTTTCACTGAGGTTTCCTAATCCTAATTTAACAGATAACGGATAATCGGAGTTGGAAGGGACCTTGTAGGTCATCTAGTCCAACCCCCCCCGCCGCCCAAGCGGGAGACCCTACACCAGTTCTGACAAAGGGCAATCCAACCTCTTCTTTGAAGGTCTCAAGTGAAAGGCTTCCAAGGTGAGAGGGGAAAGAAGGCGAGGCACGTTCTTCCCTGACGAAAGGGGCTCATTAATTCATTTCAATCCCCAAATTGCACCCCGTAACCCAATTCCTAGCTTGCTGGTCTTCTGGTAACCAAACCAGGATGGCTTCAGATAGTTTCTTGGCAGGCAGGTGGCGGTTCTTCACCTTTCTCTTTTGCGGGATTTCCTCGTGGTCTCCCATCCCGAGGTTATCCAAGCCCTCTATAGTCTTTTTCTTTTTCTTTTTTTTGCAAATCACCCCGCTGGGACTCAAAGGCATCTGAGCATCCTCATCCTCGGGGAGCAGCCCCTTCCAGGGGGTGATGCATTCCAATGCAACTCCCCAAAGCTTCCTCCAGCCGGCTGTGGATTCTGGGCGTTGTAGTCCAACTCCTCCTGAGGGCCTGGTCGGGGGGAGGGGAAGGCCCAGTTCATTCGTCCGCGAGACCATCCGCGACCCCTCCCGAATCGACTCTTCCCTCTTCATTTTTAAGGAAATTCTATTTTTTTTCTTTCCCTTCTTTTTTCCGCTTCCTCGCATCGCGCAGGCGCGGTGGGATCGCGGCTCTTTCCCCTCCACCCCGCCCTTCCCGAGACCTAACCTTGTCCCGCCCTTCATACGTCATCGCCTGGAAGGGGCGTGTCTTCCTCCGCTCAACAAGCCCCGCCTCTCTCCCTCCCTCCCGCTCTGCCGCCATGCTGGTCACGTGCGCAGAACTGGGCCCCGTCGCCTAGCAACCGTCGCTTAAAGGCCTGGGCGGCCCGGCGCTTTTCCCGAGGTGGGGAAGGGGCGCGAGGGGAGGGGAGGTGGGAAGCGGGGCGGTCTTTGCGGGCCTGCTTAAAATTTGGGACCCTCTTCCTTTTAGCCTGAATGGGAAGGGGCTGGGCTTCCCCCACCCCACCACAGGATGCAGTTGGGGGGGACCCCAGGAAGGACTGAGGGGTCTCGGGCCCAAATTGGGAGAGGGGGGGCAAAAAAGGAAAATTGACCTTTATTTTCCTGAGGAGGGAGGGGGAAATGCACCCAAATAGGGCAGTTCCCAATTGCAAGAGGGGTGGACTACAGCTCCCAGAATTCCCCACAGCTGGGGAATTCTGGGAATTGTAGTCCACCCTTCTTGCAGTGGCCCAGTTTGGGAAGCAGCGCAAGGAGGTGGTTGGGCCCCCTTTGGGGGGTCTAAATCCCCCCCAAACCACCCTTTTTTAGGCTGCCGGCTATGTCAGTAGAGTAGTTGAAAGACCCCCGTCCACAATGAGAGGGAGGGGAGGGGGAAAACTTTGCCTTTCATGAAAGGGGTGGTGGGTGCAGCCCCAAAAGGTGCCCAGCCAGGTTGTGGATGGACATAGAATCTTATAAGTGAGCTGGATGGATAAATTAAATAATAATAATAATAATAATAATAATAATAATAATAATAATAATAAAAATCGAAACATAGGGTTGGAAGAGACCTTGGAGGTCAATCTACTCCAACCCCCCTGGCAAGTGGGAGACCCCCCTCTGAGCATCCTTCCTTGGTGGATACGGCCACCCACCATGGACAAAGGGAATCCAGATAGCCGACCAGGAAGAGAGGAAAAGAAATTCACAACCGATATAACGGAAGAGAAACAACCCTTGCGTTGAAGAAATAGTTTTCTGCATTTAATGGCGTGTTTAAAGAGTCTTTTTTTGGGGGGGGGGGGGTTTGAGCAACTTTAATTAACGTTTAATCAAAATGTAATTGAATTTAATTAATTTTTCGCTTATTTAATTTGTAAGCCTCCCAGAGTCACCTTATAGAGGACATGGGTAGCATAGAAATTCAATCAATCAATAAAAATAACATAGTAAAATGATTAAAAGATGCTTCAGATCATCGAAATGGGGGAATTGGGGGAAGAGCTAGATCTTAACTGGCTTTCTGAAGACTGGCAGAGTTGGGGTCAGGTATGGTTGAAGAAATACCAGATTTGGAAGGCGGGGACTTTTGAGAGTCCTGCCACCACCATCCTCCTTTCCTGTTGCTTTGTGAATTTTGGAGAGAACCCCCTATTAGCAGTGACTTTTTCTCTTTTCCCCTCCTGCAGATACTTTTTCTAGACGCCATCATGAGCGACCAACTGAAATTCATTGTTGAGAAGCTCAACAAAGAGCCCTTCAAAAAGAATTTCAACTTAATCACTTTTGACTCTCTGGAATCAACGCAGCTCTTACAGTTACTGAGTGATGTTCTGGGTGAGATTGATCCCAAGGTACGTCAGACTTTGAACCAGGTGGGAAAAAAATGGGTGCTTGGAAAACTTGGGGGTATTGGCCTTATCACAGTGATGGTGAACCTTTTTCTTCTGGTGTGCCGAAAGCGTGTGCGTGCCGGCACCCACAATGCAATGTGCCCTGCCTCCTCTGTGCATGCATGTGCAACCCACCCACGCCCGCCCTCTTACCTACGCTGCACATGCATGCCTCTCCCAGCTGATTTTCGGCCCATTTGAGGCTGTTTTCGCCCTCCTGGGAGCTCAAAAGAAACCTCTGCAACAGGCCGAAAAATTGGCTTGTTTCGGCACTTCCAGTATTTCCAGAAATAAGCTGGGAGGTGCGCATGCGCAGTGCAGGTAAGTTTGGCTGGGGCTTGCGTGCCCACACAAATGGCTCTGCATGCCACCTGTGGCACAGGTGCCATAGATTCACCATCACCCTGGGTTTTTTTCCTGCATTTTACCAAGCAGGGATGTGAAACTCGATTTCATTGAGGGCCGCATCAGGGTTGTGTTTGACCCCTGGTGTGTGGGGAGCATGACCACCTCGACATCACATGTGTCGGGGTGCCTGTGGTGGGCTGAGCACTCTGCCAGTGAAAATGGGCTCCCAATCTCCCTTTTCGGCTGCAGTGGCTTCCTGCAACCCTCTGACAGTGAAAACGAAGCTCGGGAGGAACATTTCGGCACAGGAACCCCAAATGGTCAGCCATCACTGAACTTGGTAATCCTGGGAATCTTGTTTTTTCCAGCTTTACAGTTACAATTCGATCTGATGGCTTGATCATTTAGACTAGCCTTATCTGAGCCGGCCTCCAGATCTGGCAAAGTCTGGACTGATCAAAACGCTGGATGTTTTCACTAACTTATCTGCAGGCTATCAGGTTGGGGAAGGCTGATGTACCAAAGGCAAGATGTGGCTGGCTTAGTGGTTTGGCTCAAAATGAAGACCCTTTTCTTCATCTTGAGAGAGTCAGACCTGCCTAAGACCATTGAACTCCCATGAATTTAACTATGCCCGTCCTCCAATCACGGAAGGGGGGAAAAAGCACATCTGAGTCCATGATTAATGTTTCCACTTCCTGGATGTTTCCTAGAACATCCCCAGACTGTTAACATTCATTATATTTGATCCCCTTAAGCTGCACATAGTAATGTAGTTTATTGTGTCAGTTATACTTCAACTGTGGTTAAACCTTTCAGCACATCGTTGACATTAGAGAAGAACTGCCAGAACACACAGCGAAACGGATGTTGACCCTGCTCGGCATTCTCAAATACAAACCTCCAGGAGGTACCAGTGACTTGTAAGTAGTAGTAAGTGCTAGTAGTAGAGGTAAAGTATTAAATGTATATGCTGCCTGAGTCCTATAGTTCACAGTTTGTTAAGAAGCATTTTAAAACAAAGGAATAACACAACCCTCTTCACAAAACACACGGTTGTTATAAAATTCAGCTGTTGTTGAACACATTAACATATATTTATACGAAACTTATCTCTTCTAGAGCCACCAGTTTGCTAGCCTACCTGTCACATAATAGTTCACCATTATCCCTCTTCATTCGATAATCTTAATTTTGAAGACTTGGCTGAGGAATTGGGTGTAAGGATAAGGACAATCTCAGAAATCTGTTTTGCATTTATGTTTCCACCTCAGGAAGTTTAAAAACGTAGAGGGGTTAGGGGTTAGGGTTAGGGTTAAAATCGGTTGGATTCCGCTTCCAGGCTAACACCGTTGCTTCGCGGATTTCTTTTGTTCAGGCTGGATTGGACCGCTGCTGCGTATACTGTATTTTTTCAGCCCCATTTAAACATTCTGCTTGACACTAGAGGGTGCTGCTGTTTTAATACAAAGTCCCGGTCTTTTTTTTTTTTTTCCAAAGAGCTTACAATATAAAACAGACAGTTCCTATTTAGGTGATTAATGGCAAACCGGTAGCTGCTTATTAGTTAATTTCCCTGAACTGCAGCCATGACCGTGTGGGGGAATTTGCCAGGTTTATCTGAAGAGGATGGCATTTAGCATGGTCCCAGGGCTAAATTAAATCGGGCACGTGGTGCTGTGGCCAGCTTTTACAGGCAACCTCCCAGGCACGGCTGCTGAAAAGGGAGATTTGAATGCATTTGTCTGAATAGATAATGGGCTGGCCCTTCATCAAGGCAGTCTGTGAGAGCAGCTGGGGATGACACCTGGAAGCATAGAAAAATTACCCGCCCTTTTGGAAAATGTAGAAAAAGCTGAGAAAAATTGGGAGACAGGTTGATTGATGAAGAATCAGACAAGAAACCGTTGTCTTTGAGGTTGAAAACCTCAGAGTTTAACTGCTTTAACTGACCCTTAGCCTTTTGATAACTGGGCAAGAAACTAACTCTTGGCTACCATTATTTTAAACCTTTGAATGATTTTATTCCCGTTATCGCAGGAGCACCTTCCGTCAAGGCTTAGTGACGGGAAGCAAGCCCGTCATTCACCCTGTCCTGCACTGGCTCCTTCAGAGGACCAATGAGCTCAAGAAAAGGGCCTACCTGGCCCGCTTTCTGATCAAGATTGATGTGCCAACCGAGTTCCTTCAGGACGACACAGTGGCTGATACCAACAGACAGGTAGCCTTGATCATGTATTTCTCATCCCTCCTGCAAGAAAGCTAGGCACACACACAAAAATCATTCCAATGGCGGCTTGTAAGGCAGGTTGAACCAAAGGCAGGTCAGGGATAATCACCTCTTTGGGTTTCTTTAAATGTGTCGTGCTTGATAAGTTTCCATCTGCTGAGGTAAGACCTAGGATTTTGCTCTGTTAGGTCTTAATGTATATATTTGGTATATACATTAATACATAACAGTTATGCATGAAAGTATATATTTTATTTAGGGGGGACTAGAAATCGTGTTTTTATGTCATCTAATTGCAAAAAAAGTATGTGTACATTTGTTTTTCTGTGCTTTGTTCTCTAAATTCAGGACAAAGGTGCTTTGGGATTTAATTTATAAGGTTCGATCTCTAAAATGGGTCATTTCAAGAAACAACATACATCTATTAATTTGTTCACCTGTGGTTAGATCAGGGATCCCTGGGGGGTATAACTCAAGCATGACTGTGTTCAGAGTTAATGGATTATAGTTTTGGCATTAAAAATCATCTTTTTCTCTTTGGCAGTACGAAGAACTGATGGAAGCTTTCAAAAGCTTACATAAAGAATGTGAACAGCTCAAGACCTCTGGCTTTTCAACGGCAGAAATAAGAAGGGTAACAAAATGTTGAGATTTCTAAATGTTTGAGATTGAAATCTGAAAATGAACATAACATTTCTCAAAACAGGCAAAGTCACTTCGGTCTAAATTTACATGGTCCTCCAGCTCAGAAATATTTTACAAGCCCACTGCCAATTCACAACTGCTTTGTTCCCTGAGGTTGGGACAAATTGAGAATGGAAGCCCCTGAGAATTTATAAGCCATAAATCTTGGTGCCATTTCTTCACCTCTACAAATTCTGTAAACAGGAATGTCCAGCCTTGGCAACTTTAAGAGCTGTGGACTTCCAGTCTCAGAACTCCTCATCTAGCATGACTGGCTAGGGAATTCTGGGATCACAGATCTTAAAAGTTGCCAAATTTGGACACCCTGGCATGACATAAGGCCGAATTCCTCCTGAATATTATAAGATACGGGAACTATTTTATCGGTGATAGAGAAAAAATATGAAAGCTAGAAATAGCCAATAGAGTAGTGAAATATAGAAAATAGTTTTATAAAATTAAACGTTAAGGAGTGTTATAGTAATGGAGATATTGTGTATATTAATAAGATTAAAGAATTAATACCAAAGTAATGAACATGGATGTAAGTTTTAATTGTTACTGCACAAGGTATTTGAAGTCGGACGACACACCCATTAAATGGAAGGTGAATTGTATGTACCTTAAATAAAATAATAATAATAATAAAATAATAATAATAATTCCTCCTTTGAACACAGTGAGTTTATTCTAATTAACGCACCCAAAGTAATATAATTAGAATCCTGAGCTGAATTCACTGACATTCTCTTTGTGGGGATTTTTGATTTGCTGGGCTGAATGGTTCCTCCACGCTTCTAATATGCCACCCGATTTGCGTCTTGTGTCACTACTAGGATATCACCGCAATGGAAGAGGAGAAGGATCAGCTGGTGAAGCGAGTAGAACGGCTGAGGAAGCGGGTGAGTAAGTAGGCGGCTAAGTAGGGTGGCCCGAGTCCCCCCCCCTCCACCCCTCGGCCTGCGGGAATGCAAACAAGAATTAAGGTTTACAAGCTGTGAGTCTGGAGGAGGCATCGGATGTCTCCCAGGAGGAGAAGCCAACCTTCTCCAGGCAGGGCTCCAGAACTTCTAAAGAACTTGAGCCCAACGACACGGAGGGAGGAGGAGGAAGAGGAGACGACAGCTCCTCGAAGTCTTGAGGATAGGAAGGAAGGATGGCGCGAACTTGTAAGACACCCGATCCCTCAGATGGCTTTCTCGGCTCACCCACTTGGCTTGTCCCCTTGCTCCAAAGGTGGAGTCGGTGCAGAACCATCAGCGGATGCTTGAAACGGCCCGGCAGCTTCGGGTGGAGAAAGAGCAGGAGGAAAACCTCACCCAGCAGAAGCAAGAGCAGAAAAACCAGGTAAGGCTCTCCCCGTTCAAGGAATTCTTGGGGTTCCCCCCCACCCACCCCCCAGAGACGCCGGCTTTCTTATTGGTTCAATACAGGTAGTCCTCCGCTTGCAACAGTTCCTTTAGCGGTGGACACGACAACGGCCCTGAAAAAAAAGTGACTTTCTGGCCGTTTTTCCACACCTCCAACCGTTGGCAGCGTCACGTGAACCAAATTCAGACACTTGGCAAGGGACTCACAGTTATGACGGTTGCCAAGTCCCAGGGGAATCACCTGATCCCCATTTAGGACCTTCTGACAAACTCACTTAACAACCATGCGAACTTAATCACTGCAGCAAAGAAGGTCGTAAAGTAGAACAAAACTCACTTAGCCGCTGTTTCACTTAGCAACAGACATTTTGGGGCTCAATTGTGGTCCTAAGCCGAGGACTACCTATATTCCTTTTTTCCCCCCCAAAAAAACTGGTTCTAAACCTCCCAAGAATCTTTATTCTTGGGAAGAAATCGGGGTTCACTTTAACTCCCTCCCTGCTTCCTCATACCAGACCTTGGGGAGCAGGGGCCTTGCTTGCCAGCCTTTGAGATGACAGGCTCATCATCATCACTTGACCTCTCTAGGAAGGCTTTCTCCATGGTGCTTCGCCAGCACGATGTTAACCAGGTCCATTTAAAGAGAGAGAGAGAGAGAGAGAGAGAGAGAAAAGCTTTTGCGCAGAGTTGGCACAACAGGTGGACAGTTTGTCTTGCCAATTCTGCCATTTCAATGTCTCCTGATTCCTGGGAGGGAACAGAGAGCCCTTTGTATGCGTCCTCCATCTATTTAGCGGTTCTTTCGCAGAGGTTTCCTCTTTGTTTGGCATGAAGCTATCTTATTTCCAAAGAATCGGGGTGGAGGAATAACCTCTCACCACCCCCACCCGTGCTTATTTTCTCGCCCCCCCTCCCCCCCAGCTTTTTCACGCAGAGCAGCGGCTACACCGAGTTCAGCTTCAGCTCAAGGATATGCGTCATGCAGCCGTGGATTCAAAGCCAGAAAGTAAGTCTTGGAGTCTTCCCCATCCACCCTCCTCGACGCACAAATATACTCTTTGTCTTCCGCCCAAAACACGCACTTAAAAAAACACTGCATAAAAAAAAGCAAAAGTTGTAATTTCTCCCCTCCCCCTCTGAATTTACATTTTCATTTTCTGAGTTATTCTTGGTGCAATTTCACAGCTTTCTATTTCTGTTTGTCTCGGAGAATCCTATCTCCGCGAAGGATTAATCCTGGGTGTTTAAAAAAAAACAAAAAAACCCCCAACCAACAGATTGACCTGCTCAAAGACAGCCCCGTTATCCTATTTTTAAAACTTAACCTCTGAAATATTGCCTTTCCTCTTGGGTTCTAGCAGGCCTGCATAGTTTAGCGCAAGCTAGACTAAGATATGGCTCAGGTCTTTCCTGCTAAGAACCGATGACATCAGCTGTTGATAGAGCTGAATAACACTGAGTGATGGTCCATCTCAGATTAAAGTACTTTAAAGTTGCCTGGATTTTCAGCTGGAGCGTTTTAAGTCATCACTGCGGAGAGGCAGAAGGCAGAGAAGTCCGGTGGGGATCCCAATTAGCCGCCTGAACTTTTCTGCAACAGCGGAGGAAGGAGCCTGCAGTCTTCGGCACTCAAAGGGTGCTTTCTTCAAGAGGCCCCTGGGCTTCCTGGTTTTTCTCTGAAAACGTTTCGCTTCTCGGACAAGAAGCTTCTTCAGCTCAGTGACAACAGAAGTATTGGGACAAGTTGCAGAATTTGTGAAGAAGGCACAACTAACCCAGAGCCGAAGAAGCTTCTTGGATGAGAAGCGAAACGTCTTCAGAGAAAAACCAGAAAGTCCAGTTGTTTCTTGAAAAAAGCACCTTTGGGACAGGTGGATGGCAGAGAATCTCCATATACGGTCTTCACAACTGTTTATTTGGGGGGGGGGGGTAAGCCGAGATTATATACGCTGTATATACCTTTGGATGAATGCAATCAGAAGCCCTAAATCTTACGTTAGGCCTCAATCCTGCTGCAGAAAAAAAAAAAAATTTCCTGTCAAAAAGTGGAAACCACTCGTGTTTATAGTATCAACAGAACCACTTAAATATTTGATCCTTTTCCCTGTTTGGTATCAACACAAGGATTAGAAGAATTAGGTCCAGGAATGCCAAAACCCCCCAAAAATCAACAGCTCCCATTTATTTTACAGAAGGTTGACGGGAGCTTTCCAAATATCATCAACAAACGTTCTGACTTCTGAATTTCACATTGACGTAAACAGCAAGGAGTAATTCTAAAGAGAGTTTCCGTGTCAGGCGTCTTCTAAAGAGGACCTAGAGAATTATGCCCAGCTACATTGGTGACTTAATCTTCACTGGCATTGGAAGCATCACCTGGGTTTTTTTGTAATTTTTTAAAATAACTTACAATACGTTTGTAGCAGCCCACCCCCCGAATAAATCATTTACCATTGCTGTCTGGCTGGGGAATTCTGGGAATTGAAATCTACGCCATCTTAAAAGTGCCAGAGTTGAGAAATGCTGACCTGAGCAAACCATAGTTCCGGTCCGGCCTCTTAGCTAGCATTCTATCCTGGTTCTCCGATGTAGCGACGGGGGAGGTTTTCCCTGGATGACATTTGGTGTAGTTTTGCACGCAAACGGCAAGCCACCCCCCGCCCCGGGGGCCTTAAGGCTCAGGAGAGAAGCGCTACCCGTCTTGAACTGAACCACAGGCAGTTGGATGGAGACGGCCACGTCTTCCTCTCTCCAGCTTGAGCACATTCCTTAGTGCAGCCTCGCAAAAAAAAAAAAAACAGCCTGCCTGTCTGGGCAGATCCGCTCTTTTCTTTCTTCTAAGAAAAGGTGGGGGGAAAAAAACCCGACTCCGGATGAATACGAACTCGCAGCTTTGCGCACGTAATGATGCCGCTGGCAAAATGGCCCTCGAGGGACCTGAAGCCCCAGGCAGGGCCTGGCTTTAGACACTCGACAAAGAAACACTGGGGAGAAAAGAGATTATGAGAGATAACAGAAAACCCTGAAGTGCATTTTATTTTTTTTATTTTATTTTTCTCCTCTAGCCTCCTTGCGAAAGTCAGGATTCTTTGAAGAGGCTCGGTCAAACTTGGGTGGGGGGGAAACTAGGATGGCTCTCGGTCCCCCCCGGGGTGGGGGGGCTAATCTGAGAGTCTGAAGTGGGCAGTTTTCAAAGGAGACCCTCCCTGTGTGCATTTGGGATCAGTGACAGGATTCATTGGGTGACTCAGGACCACTTACCGCAATCGACAGAGAGAAGCTGGCATGTAATTTTTTGTCCCTCTCTGAAAATGCAAGCCTAACCTGCTTCCCGAAGCAAAGAAATGGGATAGTTTGTGGTCTTGGCTTAGGGGAGGAGAAACGAGCGTCCATGAAATATCAAACCGACCCCAGAAAAACAGGACTAAAAGCTGTAACCTAATTCCGGTTGGCGCAATCCATTCCTTAACAAGCCACGATGACGTGCTGCGTTCTAATCGTAAGCCGTGTCTCCCAAAGCTACCAAAGCCGAGTAAAACTGAAGTAGAAAAATGCTGCGGGTGTCATAGGATGGAAGCCCCCCCGTATCTCTCCGACTTTTGCAGGTTGCGATGTTTCCACGCTTAGGGACTCTGCTTTGGGTTCCTGTGGCCTGTTCAAACCCACAAAGTAGACAAGTTTCTTATTTTGTCCAAAAAATAGCTTGTCTGGTGTGAATTTCAACTCCCAGATTTCTCCAACTTTCTTCTAGTTGCCAAGGTTGAGAAAATTGGTTTAGGCTGAAAATGTTTCCTCCATCTTCTATCCCTGTTCAGAAAATGGAGGGGAAAAAAAATGGACACCTCTCCCTACAAAAATCTACGCGCTTTTAGGATTTCCCCGGCTTACTTTTTATCTGCTAGCATGTTGTATATTTATCTCTGCCAATTGAAACCTGGGGGCCTCCTTCCTTATTGGTTCCCACAGAAATTAACGCGATCTGCTGCTAAATTAGCTGGGTCTAAATTACAGTTATTACAGCCTGACGCTAAATGGCCCTTCTCCTCCCTTTGTTTAGACACATGCAGATGTGAGGGTTTTGTTCTGCTTTGTTGTTCAGGCTTAATGAAGAGTCTAGAAGAAGAGACCAAGTTCAACACTTACTTGGTCTCCGAGAAATTTCCCAGAGAGCTGGAAACGAAGAAACAGTCCTTGCTTCTCCTGCAGAAAGTGGTGGCCGAGCCAGCCATGGGCCAGTCGGATCTCAACGAGTTGGAAACCAAAGTAAGTGGGCAGGGAAATAAATAGCCCTGATGAGGTTGCCTAGTTGGGTCACAAAACGTCTGCAAGAAAACAAGCTGTACGGTTTGCCAATTGCACCCTGGCCAATAGGACAACACTCCAGAGGATTAACGTCATTGCCCAGAGGATCCTGGGTTGCCCTCTCCCCTCTTTGGAAGAGCTTTATAGCTTCCGCTGCCTTAAGAAAGTTCAAAACATTCTCAAAGATCCATCTCATCCTGGGCACCCTTTTTTTTTTTGAACTATTACCATCTGGCAGGCGGTACAGAATAATAATAAAAACAAGGACAAATAGGCTGAAAAACAGCTTCTATCCCAGGGCAGGAACTATACTGAATTCTCCTGTATAGTGCAATATGAATGCAATATCAGGGGTTTTAAATTGAATGTATAGAATGTGAAGAATGGGTGTTTGTGTTTTATTTTTATAGTTATAATGTACACCGAAGATGGTGTTCGATTCCGTTGTACGAGGTGCAATGACAATAAAGTAAACTAACTAACTAACTAACTAACTAACCAGGGTCAGAGAGCATCAAGGATCCCACAATCCTCCACTCCACCAACTCCCCTCCCTTTTAGCCCTGATGATGTTACCTAGTTGGGTCATGAAACTTCTGCAAGAAAACCACCCGTCGCAGAGAACACCAAGAACTGTACAATAATAATAATAACCCTTCCCCTTCCCTTGACTAAAGGCCATTCCTTCTATAGAGAGAGTTGCTATTATTCTTTTTCAGGGGGGCACCTCTGGCCAGATGGCCTTGGGAAGCCTGCCAGTAAGAGGGGTACGTAAGAGTGGATATATTTGGAGTCATTCAAGGCTGGCTGGGAAGCATGGGAGCTGTAATCTACCCCCTTCATAAGGCACCAGGTTAGCCGAAGAGGGCTTAACATTCACCCTCTGTTGCAGCTGCCTAGGCATTGTCCACATGCCTTGAAATAGATGGCAGGGGTCACTTCAGGATAACGTTGGCCTCCCTGGAGACCCTTCTCAACATCCAGGAGCTGCGCCCTCATTCATGAAACCGCCAGAAGATTGCAAAGTCAATTTCTTCCCTCTGGGTAATAAATTCATGAATCAATATCCGTTTGCCTTATTAGCAGAAGCCCCAAAGAAGCTTTGGTAGTTAACGTGCCACCAGGCTGCTTATTTTTAGCCAAAAGAGATCAACCTTAAGCGAGGAGCAAAGAATCGGGTATCGGTGAGCATCTCTCTTCATGGCTTTAACCGGCTGGGAAGCCTGGCAGTGGGCTGGAGCGAAATCCAGCGATTGGCCGAGAAAGGGCTTTAAATTGAGATTTACAGGTGCGGTTGTTATCTCGGTTTCCTGTCCAGTAAAATGCCTTTGATTTACACAGTGTCATTCCAACAAGCAGGAATGAAAGAGGAGGCTGTGAGGTGTGTCTTTATCTCAAAAGATAAATCGCACCCAGGCAGGATGGCCTTGAATCCAATCTCCCTCGTTTAGGTAATGCAATAGCTGTCATTTAGGTTTGTGCTGTCCCACTGCAGCCGCCTCTTCGTGTGTTTTCCCAACCTCTAGTTGGGGCATCATAAATAACCAATCGTGGTTTTTCTCTCTCCGTTCGCTTTTTAACGAGACTCCTCCTTAACTGGTTTTTGATAGAATAGAGTCAAGTTTAAGCAGCGAGTCCCTGCCCGTTTGCCGAATATGGGTAATTCAGAGGCTGAACCGCACCTGTTATGGGATTGTAACGGGGACTCCTGACTTGAGCAAGTCGCTGGACTCCGTAACCTAACATCCCCTCCCAGCTCTGGAAGTTTGGCTTGAATTGCTTGCTCGCTGACAAAGGCCTTTAGGTGCTGAAAAGCACACAAAGTGAAAACAAGCTGTCTCCATTCGCTATTTTTAAAACTTTCCCCCAGCGTCATTGTAGAAGTTCGCTCAAAATTCCAGAAACCGTCTTTCATCTGAATCCATTCTTGAGAAGCTGGCCTATATCTGGAACTGGCCTCTCTCCGCAAACCTGGTTTGCTTTTCTAACCCTGGGCTGCGGGAAGAACCTCCTCCTCAAATGTTCTGTCTTTACAGATAAAGGAGGTCAATGCCCAGATCAACCAATTAATCGAGAAGAGGATGATGAAGTACGAACCCATCGATAGCAAATTTTCAATGTACCGGCAACAGGTGAGAAGACATTCTCGGCAGGACAAGCGCGAGGAGAAATTCAATACAGGGAAGTCCTCGGTTTACGATGCCAAAAAATGACTGTTGCTAAGCGAGATGTTTGTTAAATGAGTTTTAACCCCATTTTACAACTTATCCTGCCATTGTTGGTAAGGGACCCCAGTTGTTCTGGGGTCCTCAAACTTGGCAACTTTAAGACTTGTGGACTTTAACTCCCAGAATTCTTTAACTCCCAGAAGTCCACAAGTCTTAAAAGTTGCCAAGTTTGGAGGCCTCTGAGTTAGTAACTCGGCCGTTAAGTGAATCTGATAAAATCGTTAGCTGGGTTGACGTAACATGGCTTGGTTGGTCCTTGCATGGTGGAAATCCAGCCAGTTATGGCTTAGTTAACAATTATGGCTTGGTGAAACCATGGTCCAGCTTGCGTGAATCCAGTTATTCTGTCCTGGACTGAAACTTAATTCCATACAGCTTGGTTACCATGGCATTTCACATCCAGACGGCCATTTCTGCTATTATTTTCTCCTTTAGACATCAATTAGGGCAAGGGTCTTCAAACTTGGCAGGTTTTAAGGCTTGTGGGTTTCAACTCCCAGAATTCCTGAATTAACATGACTGGAGGAGGAATTCTGGGAGTTGAAGTCCACAAGTCTTAAAGTTGCCTTGTTTGGAGACCTCTGAGTTAGTAACTCGGCCATTAAGTGAATCTTTCCCATTGACTTTGCTCATCAGAAGGTCACAAAAGACTTCTGAATTTCGATCACGTGACCGTAGGGAGGCTGCAATGGTCATTAAGTGTGAAAAGCCGTCCTAAGTCCCTTTTTTCCCAGTGCCGTCGTAACTTCGGTCACTAAACGGACGTATCGTCAGTCAAGGACTACCTGTATTGAACACCGAAATCCCAGCCCCTGGGACTTGAGGCATTGCAGATTTCTTGATAGGGTGCTAATTGTGTTTGCGGGCATCTGACAATTCCAGAACTGTTAGCCAACCCTAATTTAATAGGTGGAACCAGATACAATTTTGGGTAGCGAATGTGATCCCAGGCCTTTTGTTGTTGTGAGCCTTGTATTACAAGGCTAAGTATGCTACATAATGTGCCGGTACAAGAGACCAGTTGGCTTTTCGTATAAAGTGCTGACATCCCTCGGAGGAGCCATGCCAGGAATTCAGAACTCCTCACTTCGTCAAAAACAGTTGGCCGCTTCTGCCCAGCTCCACGGGGGCCCTTTCCTCGGTTTCACTGGAGTGCCCCAGTTGTGTTTTTAGCTCCATTTGTCACCATGGGCCCAGGTGTGAGGAGCAGAGGGCTTGGATAACACCCAGATTGAATGATTTCAGCCAGATGTTGGAAGGTACCTTCAAAATTACCTGTACATGTGGCAAAGTCTGCCTTAAGAATGACTAAAGTGGCAAAGTCTGCCTTTAAGTTACTAAAAACACGAGGCTTGGCTTCCTTTGAAGAAATGTGTCCTTCTGTGATAATTTAGTTGTGAAATGTAGTTCTGCCTTGAACATTATATGTTCTTGTGTTAGATGTTACATATCAGTGGGCTCTGTAGAAAACTGGCCTCCTAGGGCTTTTATAATCCAACAAGAACAAAACCAAATGAAACCCACAAGTCTTAAAAGTTGCCACCCCTGATTTAAATGATAACTTGCAAAAGGTAACGTTTAAGAGGTGTGGACTTCAATCCCCAAAGTTCCCTACCCAGCATGGGTCAACTCCCAATTCCCAGAATTCCCCGTCCATCATGGGTGGACTTCAACTCCCAGAATTCGCCCCGCCACCTAAAGCTACTGAGGTTGGCATGCCAGCCCTTTTCCTGGCATCATCCTCTTCGACGCCCTAATACTAACCAGTCTGGGAATCCTCACAGGCTTCCATCATCTCGCGGAAAAAAAACGCCAAGGCGGAGGAACTTCAGACCGCCAAGGAAGAGATCACCAGCTTGGAAAGACAAATGATCCAGAAGTCGAGCCAGGCTCGGGAGCTGGACGGGACAGAAGTCCTGAAAGGCGATGAGGTAAGGAAGCGGCCATTTTGCATGCAGAACTAGGTTGGGGTCCCCAAGATGGCTTCCCTTGTTACCTGGAAGAATTATGAGTTGTTGAGGGTTTTATTCCAGAAACCTGGTCTCGGTGGTTCCCTTTTTTAAGTAGCAGATTTGTTTTGAGCAAAACAAAACAAATCTGCTTTGTGACCCTGGTGCCAGCAATGGTTATTCTACACAACAGCAGCATGTCCTACCGCAGAGGCCAAAGATCTTACCTGTTGCGTGTCCACGAGGTTTTTAAGCACCTCACGAAATAATTTCACGTTGCCAACACACCTGATGGGAACCATCAGTCGAGTAGCTAAATGTGAAGATAAATTACACACACACATACACACACCGAATGAAAATGGAGAATTAGTTGTCGGGTTTAGGGCTGGATTGCTGTATGGAATGAAGAAAAGAGGAAGACCGGCAGACCTGCATGAACAACTTTGCAGGTTCAGTTCTCACAACAGCTAGTCATGGCCTCTTTTGAAGGCATCTGAGCTGCGTGTCTTCTCCACTTTTTCGACTGGAGTTCCATCAAAGAACAGGGCTGCCTATGAGAGTCACCAATGTCTGAATAACCCCGTCTATTTCAGACTTATCATGACTTATGATCTAGACTTGATCCTATATTGTTGTATATTTAAGTCCTCCTCCTGGTCTGTCTTTCCATCTAGCGGGTGGTTTTTAATCTCCTGTCCCCGAACGAAGGTGTTTGAGAACAAAGAACCTCACGGTCGAACTTGTCCCTGGTTTTTGATTCAGCACAATTTAATTCCAACCTCCAAGTATTCTTAACCTTAACAACTCCGAGCTGGAGGAGGAGAAATATCTTTTCAAGGAATCAAGGATGCTAACCAGAAGAGCTTAACCCGGGTCTTAAGTCAGGATGTGACTGTCCCCTTGGTGGCTTCGGGACTTCCCTAGGATTCTTTGCCAGCTGGAAAATGCCAGCCTAAAGACCCTCTTGCTTTGAGAAATGCCATCCTTGTTAGATCGCAGAAGAAGTGCGAAATCTGGGCCCGGCTTTAGTAGAATTTTTTTATTGGTCCAAGGTGATTGGACACACAAGGAATTGGCCTTCGGTGCAGAAGCTCTCAGTGTACATAAAAAACCGCATTCATCAAGAATCATAAGACGCAACACTTAGTGCTAGGCATGGGATACTGAATAAGCAATCCAATTATACAAGGGAGCTTAAATAAAACAATATATACATAAAGATAAAGATACAAGCACCAAAGTTATAGTCATAAGCGGGAGGAAATAGGTAATAGGAAGGATGAGAAGAAGAATAGTGATACAGTTTGACAGTGTTGTGGGAATTAGTTGTTTAGCAGAGGGATGGCATGTGGGGGAAAAACTGCCCTTGTGTCTAGTTGTTCTGGTGTGCAGCGCTCTATAATGTTGTTTAATACTTTAGGCATGAAGTTAGCGCCCTTAATGATTTGTGATGAGACCTTCAGTCGCTTCCAGCCTGCACATACCCCCTCCCCCCCGCCCAGGGGTTTGAGTTACTGGTATCCCCTTATGGCCTGGCTCTCACTAAGTTTGGTTCTCGAATGATTCAAGGCCTTTTCTGCCTGGACTACTTCTGCATGCCACCCATTTCATCCTCGGCTGAGGTCTTAACACCTCCACCCCAGAAAGGTCAGCTCAGGCTTATGGTTTTCCCCCTATTGCTTTCCAAGGCCAGGAAAGCCCAGGCCTTTGTGCCAAGGGAGGAAAACAGCGGGTGGGATTTATTTAATCGTGGGTTGTTGTTTTTTTTATTTTTATTTTTTTAAGGGGGGAATTGGGGAAGAAGATATTCAAGGGCTAAAGAGGCCTCTTGCAGAAGGGACGACATTGTTCGAAAAATCCAGGCCAGGCTGGCAAGCTTCTTCCTGCAGCTATCGAACCGTAAAAATTTAGGAATCGCATGCCTGCACGAGAGAGAAGGGGAGATGGTTCAGTTACGAGCGATGTTAGGTAAACCAGGGATAATTTTAGCTCCCTTTCACGGTACATTGTACTCTTTGCAGTTGAACCCCAGTTCCAGGGAGGTAGGATTCCAGGTAGGCTGGTTATTTTTCTTGTGACAGTCGGCTGACCATTTATGTAACAGATCTTTATCCCACCTTATAAGTAACTCAAGGTGGTGAACATACATAATCCACCCTTCCTTCCTTCCTTCCTTCCTTCCTTCCTTCCTTCCTTCCTTCCTTCCTTCCTTCCTTCCTTCCTTCCTTCCTTCCTTCCTTCTATTTTCCCACAACCATTCTGTCAGGTAGATTGGGCTGAGAGGGAGGGACTAGCCCAGAATCACCTGGCCAGCTTTCATCATGCCTTTGGTGGGACTAGAACTCACAGCCTCCTGGTGATTGGCCCTCCTTGTGAAGGATAGAAGAACGGACCGGCACGTTCAAGTCAAAAGAGCCCGAGACGTGGCAGGCAGGAGTGGACCTTCGCCCTTTGCGTTTGTCCTTCCTTGGGTATCTTGCTAGCCAAAAGCTGGGGAGGAGGGAAAACGGGCAGAATAGACCTTTGGGTCACTAAAAACTGAAGGAGGATCCGCACTGTAAGCCACCTGAGCATGGGATGGCCAGCTTGGTGCCATATTTTGTAAAAAGAAGATCTGTTTTTTTTTATTTCAGGCCCACCCGGCCTTCTAGTTGAAAACTCAAGCATTCCAAAGCCAAATCTTTCCCAGATGTTTCTGTTGGGTCAGAACTCCCCAAGGGGACCCTCCAGCTAAATTGAGAGCGAAGTCTTTAAAAATCAGGCAAACTCCGTGCCAGCAAAGGGCAGAACGAGCCAATGGTGGCAATTATTGTTAAGAATCGCCCGCCTGGCCCCATCGAAAGAGCTCGTCCCATTTTTCTTCTACCAGAGTTCACCTTCGCCGAAGGGGCTTGGAGTCTGGCACACGGGTATGTCTTCCAGAAAGGAGGAAAGAGAAAAAGCACCCACTTTTTCTCTTTCCCCCTTTCTGGTAGACCTTGAGGGGGCTCATCCCCTGTCCCCGGGAACGGAAGGGACCCCCAAAGGGACATGCCCCTTGAGCCACGCGAGCCTCGTTCCGGGGGGGGGGGGGCTCTTGGCCCAGAGCTTGTCACAGCCAGGCGTTTCCTCAGACTAAATTCTCTTAACTGCCTGCCTGAGCCCTTATTACATTAATTGGATGGGCAGTAAAACAGCTCCACTGTTTCCAGACTGCGGCTTCTGCAAACTTTATTTGAGGGCCTCCCGCCGAGATAATGAAGGAGCTTCTCTTCTCATCTCATGGGAGCTTAACTTTTGTTTTCTCGGTTTGTTGTTGTCGGTTTTTTTTACTCCTCTCTTTCTCTTCTGGGGTTGGAGGGTGGGGGGGAAGGAAGGAAATTAAAGCAAGTGTTAATTCTCTGGTTTTATTTACCTCTTTCGACCAGCGAGGATGCTTTATAGAGCTCCATGACAGCGACTGATGGAATCCTGGTTTCATGCACCTTGGGCAGGTGTGCCCAAACCAATGTACGAAAGAGACTCCTTTTCATGGCAATGTTGCCTATCTCACTCCCAATCCAGGATAAATGTCTTGATTTTCCTTCTCCCCATTCTATTTCTTCTGTGTTTCTTCTACAGAACTCCTGCTGAGAAATCTCTACAGAGTCTCTTCAGCAGGATTTCGGAAGTTAGAGGAAGGCAAGGATTATTGGGGAAGTTAAAGGAAGGATTACTGGAGGAGTGAATTTGCATCCCTACCAAGCAAAAGAACAGCAGTTTAGGCTCATGGCTGAAAGCCTGATGTATTTCCATTTTTCTGCTCCATGCAGCAGCAGCTACCTAGCTACTCTGGTATTTTCCCCCAGTATTTTCCCAGGCTTTTCTGTTAGGCTGAATTGTCGAGCAGATTGGGAAACAGTTGTTTGCATGATAGCCCCCTGGGAAGCTCCCACGGGCGACCAGAGGTACCAGAGGTTTTGGAAAATTGGGACGGAAGTTTTGGTTCGGGTTGCTTTTTAAAGGGATTTGTGGGGTTGGCAGGTTTCTTGTCTGGGGGGCTATCAACCCTTGCAAATCTCCACAAGCCAACAGAGACTTTTCCCCTTCCAAAAGGTATTGCATTAAAAATATATATATCTTTTTGAGACTCAACCTGCTTGGGGTCCCCCAGCATTTCCCCGACTGAAACCCGAACAAGCAGGATTTTCCTTCCTTCCCCGGCCTAGGTGTGCAGCAAAGACAGTTGTTCTTCAAACAGCCAGGACCTCGGTCTTTTTTAAAACCCGAGACGGATAAAATCTGGCTTTGCTGTCTGGCTGAAAAGTTTTACAGCTTTGGGGTTTAAAAATAGTTGCCAGAGCCCAGGGAAGCGGAGGAGACCTTGGCAAGAGACGGCAGATGAACTGGTGTGATTTTAAGATGGGCTGTTTGCCCGGGAAACTTTTTATAGCGCATACAGTTATCGGCCCAGGGGGGGGGGGCATGGGGGGGGGAGAGGCTTTCACGGTGGGTTCATCTCGGACTGTAAGAATTTGTTCTTCAAATGGGACAGTATGTTTTACGCTTGGGGGGGGGGCTCCCTGTGCACCCCAACTCCGTTTTCTTTTTGAATAAATTCAAGGCGATTTAAGGCAACATTGAAAAACCAAACAGGATCCATCTCATCCTGGGCACCCCCGTTTACTTTTCTTTCTTTCTTTCTTTTTTTTGAGCTACTACTCTCTGGCAGACAGTACAGGATAGTAATAAAAAACAAGGACAAATAAGCTGAAAAGCAGCTTCCATCCCAGGGCAGGAACTCTGTTGCATTCTACTATGTAGCGCCCATATTAATGCAATATCAGGGGTTTTTCAGTTCATTTGTATAGAATGCGAAGGATGAAGGGGGGGTGTTTTATTTTTATAGTTATTATGTACACTGAAGATGGCATTTGATTTCATTGCACGAGGGGCAATGACAATAAAATAAACTAAGCTAAATGTCAACTAAAAAAAAGACTTCTTTGGTTTTTTTAGTTGCCAGCAGAAAGGGAGTAGGGGAAAGCAGTGAATTCCTTTAATGCCTCAGATGGCAGCCCAAAGCTGTCGGCGCATGAGATTATTACTGGAGAGCGTGATTGATGACTCTGGGCTATGGAGGCGTCCCATTGGAGGATATACACATCCAGAGGGTGGGGGGGAAGACCAAGGTCAAGGGGGAAATGAAGGGTGTATTTTAGTGTTGGCTGCATCCAGGTAACCCTGACATGGTCACTCCTTCATAAATCTTTTTTTTTTTTTTTAACCCTGAGAGATGAGGCTAGAGACTCATGATTTGAATGCGGGTGGATTTAAACAAAATCAAACTCTGGCAGACGGTACAGGACAATGATAACAAACAAGGACAAATAGGCTGAACATCCCATTAGCTTCTATCCCAGGGCAGGAACTCTATTGGATTCTACTGTATTGTGCAATATTCATGCAACATCAGGGGTTTTCCATTCAAATGTATAGAACGCGGAGGATGGGTCTGTGTGTGTGTTATTTTCATAGTCACAAATTGTATACTGAAGATAGTATTTAATTTCGTTGTAGGAGGTGCAATGACAAGAAAGTAAAACTAAAACTAAAACAAAGAAATCTTGCATTTTCCTTTTGGTCCAGACGTGAACCTATCTAAAACGCTGTTCTTCTAAAGGCGGGTTTTCTGTTTCCATCCGAGAGAGCATGGCTTCTCGATTTCTCTCTCTTTCCAAAGAAAAAGGGAAGGGTTACTTTGGTCATAAAACGATAGGAGCTGGACCGGGCATCTTCCCCCCCCCCCCCAAAGGACGGTGACTCTTCTCGTTGCAGTTCAAGCGGTACGTTAACAAGCTCCGCAGCAAAAATACCCTTTACAAGAAGAAGCGCCTGGAGATCGCCGAGATCACAGCCGAGTACGGCATCCTGCAGCGGACGGAAGAGCTCCTGAAACAGCGGCACGAAGACATCCAGCAGCAGTTGGTAACGGTCCCTCCCATCTGGACTGCCCCGGGGCGTGGGGGTGGGTGGGTCGATGGCAACATCAACAGGAGATCCCAGGGCCCATCTTAAGTCCCAGAAAGGATCCTGGGGAGGCCTGGCAGGGGAGACGGAAGAACGACAAAATCGTTAGCTGGGTTGACGTATCGTGGCTTGGTTGGTCTTTGCGTGGTGGAAATCCAGCCAGTTATGGCTTAGTTAACAATTATGGCTTAGTCAAACCAGGATCCAGCTTGCGTGAATCCAGTTATTCTGTCCCGGACTGAAACTTAATTCCATACAGCCCGGTTGCCATGGCATTTCACATCCAGACGGCCATTTCTGCGATTAGTTTCTCCTTTAGACATCAATTAGGGCAAAGGTCTTCAAACTTGGCAGGTTTTAAGGCTTGTGGACTTCAACTCCCAGAATTCCTGAATTAACATGACTGGAGGAGGAATTCTGGGAGTTAAAGTCCACAAGCCTTAAAAGCTGTCAAGTTTGAAGAGCCCTGAATTAGGGCTTGTAGTTGGTCCGGCGTTTAAAGCTCTTTATCTTTTAGAGCAGGGGTGTCTTCACCTTGGTAGGTTTTAAGGCCTGTGGACTTCAACTCCCAGAGTTCCCCAGCCAGCCCTGCAATGCCTCCCCGTGGAGATAAGACTGGTGCCCCCTCCTCTTTCGAAACTCTTTCGCAAGGCCCCACTGGTTTGGCCAACGGGTCTGGAGCCCCCAGAGTGAGATTAACCCCCCCTCAAGTGCCTTATTTAATTCTCTTAACGGTTATCCTGGGGCTGGGGGAGAAATTACCGCTTTTTATTAACTTTTACATTGGGTTTTTAATCTCTGTAAGCCGTGGGGAGTCTCTGAGACTGAGTCGGGTGGCCACATACATTTTCTTAAATAAATTGAGATCTGGAACCCTGCAGCTTCTGAAGGACCTCCGGGGCCTGATCCCTCCCGCCAGCCTCATTTTTCTCTCCTCCTTCCTCCAGCAAGCCATCGAAGACAAGAAAGGAATCTCTGGCTACAGCTATACCCAGGAGGAGCTGGAGAGGGTGTCGGCCGTCAAGAGCGAAATGGACGACATGAAGGGCCGAACTCTGGACAACATGTCTGACATGGTACTGTCCAGAGACTTCAGGGGGGTGGGGGCGTTAGAGAAAGCTTGTCCTAACCCTGACCCCACCCTCTGCCATCCCTTTACACCAGAGGTCTCCAAACTGGGCAACTTTAAGACTTGTGGACTTCCAACTCCACATGCCTTAAAAGTTGCCAAGGTTGGAGCCCTCTGCCTTACACCCAGGATGCCGCAACCTGTCTTCTTTCTACGTGTGGCGCCCGAGTCTACTTCAGCTCCCATTCAGCAGGCTCCGCTCACAGAAACGCTTTCACTTCCCCACAGGTGAAAAAACTGAACACCTTGGTAGCCGATAAAAAGTCAAGCTTGGCCCCAATCATCAAAGACCTCAGGCAGCTGCGACAGAAGTGCCAGGTGAGTGCAGGCAATGCTCGGGGATGAGGCTGGAACGCCCCCCCCGCCCCCCCTGCAGGGGTGGGATTCTACCGGTTCTGACTGGTTCTGGCGAACCGGATGTTAAATTTGCATCTCGTTCGCTGAACTGGGATTTGAACCAACCGGCTGGTCCCGCCCTGCCCCTCCCAGGGGTCTCCACGGGGCCCATTTTCGATGCAGGTAGTGCAGGGTCCACGCGAAGGCTCTGGGAGAGGGGAAAACGGGCCTTCCAGAACTCTGAAAACGGGCCTGTTTCCGGCTTCACCCTCCCAGAGGCCCGAGGGAAGCCTCCGGACTCTGCGGAAGGTGAAAAACGGCCCTCACGGAAGTTCCGGGTGGCTACGCCCACCATGGCCACGCCCACCCAGCAACCGGGCAGCAAACTGGTTGCTGGGATTTTTTGAATCCCCCCTCCCCCCCCAGCCCCAGAGTGCCCTGGGTTGCTTTCAGGAAGGGGGGGCAGGGGGGGGATTCAGGTGGGATTCAGGGGTGGGATTTACTTCAAATGCAGCACAGTCAGAGCATCCCTGCCATACTCCGAGCACCTTAGCAAATTCCTCTCCTTATAACTGCGTTGGGTAGCAGTTTACTGTAACAAGCACCACGGAAGCTAGGAATCTACCCTGCAAACTGATGGCTTATCCTGCATAGCGAGGCTCGGGGTCTGTCGGATTTAGATAGGTGCCTCTTGCTGAGGTTGGGCTGCCCAAGGACCAGCTGTTGTATCCACCTCCTTTGTTTTTTCCTTCCTCCCCAGGAATTAACCCAAGAATGCGAAGAGAAGAAATCCCAGTACGACAGTTGTGCCGCTGGTTTGGAAAGCAAGCGTTCGTCCCTGGAGCAGGTAAGCAAGGAGGAGAGAGGGGGGGGGGAGAATTCCTCTCCATCTTACCTCTCTTTGAAGGTTTCACCCCACCCCCCCAAAACGTAACAGGGCCTGGTTTTCTACTAAGCGTTTAGGTTTGGAGTCGAGCAAAAGATATTTATTTGGGAGGAAATCCTATTTTCCCAATTGTAGCCTGTTGTTCCAAGTTGTGGCTTGTGAGATAAAATAATGACATTTAATCCATGCTTGGGCCAATTTAATCTCCCAGCTATTGACTTAGGGTTGTTGTTTTTTTTCCCCCCTCTTTGGATAAAAATGGGAGTAGAATATTTTAGGAGTAAGAAGCTCGCATCTTTTGGTTATTCGTGGTCTCCAAATCTCATTCCACTGAATCCGTCGAGGACGATGGGACCTTCAGTCCCACAGCATCTTGAGGAAAGGGGCTTCCAGGGACCTGCCTTTCACCTCCACCGTGATCTGACCTGCCTCTTGTGCTCCAGACGGCGAGTTCTCTTCCCTCTTCTAAAATGTCCCTTCTCTCCCGTCAGGAGGTGAAGAGCCTTCGGGAGGAGTGTTTACAGGAAGAAAGCAACTATCACCAGGTCAACTGCATGAAAATGGTATGCTGGTGAAAGAAAGCAGGTCCCCTCCCTTCCCCCCCCCCCCCCCCCCGAGCAGGAAGTAGGGCTGTTTGAAGTCTAAATCCAGATGTTTCTTGTTAGATTTCCGAAGCACAGCTGCAGCGTGTCAAAGAGGAGGTGAAAATGTATGTTTCTTCGGATCAACAGGAAAGGAAGAAGGCAGTCAGGTACAGAGGCCCCTGGAGTGGGCATCTCTATTCAATCCATAACGGTTAGATCATCGGCATTGACACAATCCCCACCCGTCAATTGCAAAAGGCAGCTTGACGCGGAACAGCTGATATCCGGTGAGGATAACTTTGAATGCCCTCAAAACCTCCACGTCACTGGTGGTATTCAGCCGGTTCGCACCGGTAGCAACGATTTTGCGTGGGTCACCGAACCAGTAGTCACTTCTGGCTGGCCACGCCCGCCCGATGCTCGCCCCGCCCAGTCACTCCTTAAGGCATTTCTTCTTTTTTTTTCCCCGCCCTCCCAACAATCAGCTGTTCCTGCAATCAGCTGTGCTGGGATTCCCCTTGTTTACTTACTTGCTTTGTCCAGGAGGTTTCCCTGAGGCCCAGGAAGGCCCCCAAAAAAGGGGGGGGGGTTTGCTGCTGCAGTAAAAAAAAGCCACACCCACCTAGCCACGCCCACCTAGCTGTGCCCACAGAACTGGTAGTAAAATACGTTGAATTCCACCACTGCCCCACATCTCATCACATCCTCATAACAACCGGTTCTGTAGAACCAGTCTGAACCGGTAGAATCCCACCGCTGAATAGCTTGCCTCTCAAGAGTTAATGGGTGTTCCATCCCGGGAGGTTTTCAAAAATGGATGGGGCAACCATTGGCGGGGGGGGGTTGGGCTAGATGCCCCCCTCGGCGCCCCCCCCCCCCCCCCCCCAGCCCTAGGATTCTGTGTTCAGTAGGGGAAGAAGGCTGCGGCCAGAGGAATCTGCAGCACATTGGGTGACAATGCCCACAGATGATGTGGTCTTCACTCTTCCACGCTCCTGTCCCAGCGTCGGGCGCAGGCGGCGGGTTTGCGTCCTGACATCGCGGGACATGCTTTGTCACGCACACACCTCGCGTGGGGGCTCCGGTGGCCAGCCCAGCTGCCAAAATACCACTTGTGTCCCTGAGCTACCTCTCAGCTCTCCGTGGATGGTGCTTCGACGGAAGGGCAGCCGGGGACAAAGAGGAGATTACATCTCCAAATATTTGCAGTGGCTTTTATAATCTGTCTGGAGGGAGGAAAAGAAGCTGCGATGGAGCAGGAGGAGAAACAGGCCAACCCTGAGCAAAAGGACACAGCAGGGAACCTCCTGCCAGGATGAGCTCCGGTGTCTGGGTCGGCTCCGTGATTTGTGTGTTTCCTTGTGTGTTAGGATTTCTCTTGGCATGTTAGGTGGCCGGTAGAGCAGTGGCCACCAACCAGTGAACTGGGGGCCACTGGGGGTCTGCGAGAAAAGTTTGGTGGTCCGCAGAGAAATGTCCCCCTCAAAGCAATTCATCGCGGCTGCGTGGGACACACAAGGCTGCGCTGCCCCCACGGGAACACAAGGCTTGTGTCACTTGCACTGCGAACAACACGAGGTAGTGAGGAGAAGGGGGAAAGGGCAGAAGGGGGGGACTTACCCCACATGCCCCATGGGCCTCGCTTGGCCACCGGGCTGCTTCTTTCCGCTTCTTTCTTCTGCTTTTGGCTGCATGCAAGGAAAGCAGCCAAAGACTTTCTTTCTCTCCCCCAAACTCCGCCAGAAATGAGTCTTTGGGACCCTGCAAGGCCTCCTGCTCCAAGAGGCTCTGCCGGCGCAACAAATGTCACCAAGACTCATTTCTGGCGGAGTTGGGGGAGAGAAAGAAAGACTTCTGCTGCTCCTGCTGTTTTCCTTGCATGAAGCCAAAAGTCTCTCCTCTCTCTCTCCCCCTGAGAACGGAGCCGGAGACGGTATCCTGTGATCCCAAATAAAGAATGATCGATCGGTAGGAAAACAGGACGGGGGATTTTCCTGCAGACTTTTGGGGGGGTCTTCCCAGGGTCTCTGCTGCTTTCTGCAGAGACCCTGGGAAAACATCAGCAAGCCACTGTCAGTCCAAATTCCTATTAGTGGTCCGCGGGATTTAAAATTATGAGTTTGGTGGTCCCTGAGGTCCAAAAGGTTGGCGACCCTTGCTTTAGAGCAACGTTTCCCACTCTGGGCCCCTTGAAGAGGTGTGGACTTCAACTCCCACAATTCCCCTTAATGCTGGCTGGGGAATTCTGGGAGTTGGAAGTCCACACCTCTTCAAGGGGCCCGGTTGACAAATGCTGCTTTGGAGTGATTGCTTTGTCGGTTTGTGAAGGAAAACTTTGTCGGAGTGTCCGAGGAGGAAGGCAGGAGGAAGAGGCAGAACTTGGTTCTGGAAGTCCAAGCTGCCTTTCTGGTGCTTCTCAACTCGCTCCCTTGGCCCAGTTCTACCCCAGATTTGAAACTGGGAGAAGCAACTCACCCGCAGGGAGGGATTCCGCATTTTGCATGTCTGCCGTGTTCAGCTGTAGCATTCCTGCATTTCTGTGAAATTTACCACCCCATTAATGAAGGCCGTGCCCCTAGGGCCGAGCAAGCGAGCCCCCCCACCCCACCCCCACCCCCACCCAAAATGCCCAAACCATCCAACTTCTCTTCGTCAGAAAGTTTTGGACAAGCCAGCAACCTGGGCTGCCCCGGCAAATGAGTTTCTCCAAATCCTTCGGTAAGCCCTGGAATGGAAGCCACATTCCGACAACCCATAAACATCGGCTCCCAAAGTCGGGAACCAGAAGTTCCCTCGTTCTTCTGATCCCTTCCCCATCTCTGCTCCATGGAGTCAGCCGTCAGGAATGCAGAAAAGTTAATTTGGCTCTCTAAAAATAGCGTTCACTTTCAAAAATTAAGGGGCATTCTTTCCGAGCCTCGTTTAAATAGCCAAGAAAAGAAAACAGTCTGGTTTCAGGAGCCGGCCTTCTTTTTTAAAAAAAAAAAAAAAAGAAAAAGCAGAAAAACAATACAGATCTGCGATCCTTGGAGAGATCCTAAGGTAAAGGCCTTGAAGGTGAGGGCCCTCCTGTTGCCAACAGAAGCAAAGAGAGGATCCTGACCTCTGAGTGGACAATGCGTTCCTGACGCCGATATCTCCTCCCCCATCGGAAAGCACTGTTGGAGGGGGCAGAGGTTGGAGGGGACACAGCCTGGAAAAATTAGAACAAAGTGAAGGTCTAAGGGACTTGGTAGAAGAAGGGAGAGGAAAGAAGGCCACCGGTCAGGTACGAAGGATCAGGTCCTCACAGGCAACAGTCCAATTAAACAGATTTATTGCTGCACAGGAATCTTCTCAGCACCTGTTGGGAGTTAGAGAAGGTTCCAGGGAATTCAAGGGGAGAGTTGGATTTAGTTCACTTATGGCTACGTAGGAATTCTAGACTAGTTCCTCCTTTCACTCCCCCCCCCCCGCAGGTTCTGCCATTCCTTCCCCTACATCACTTCATTTCAAAGTTATTTATTTGTATCCCCCCCCCTTTACTATTATATTTTAATAAACGATTCCAGGGGGTGAACACACTTAATCCTCGTCCCCACTCCTCTTCCCCACTCCCCAGCCACAAGGAGGGTTGCGCTGAGACAGCCCACTGCCACCTGTCTGGCTTTCACGCCGAAGGTGGGACTAGAACTCACGGCCTCCTGGTGATTGGCCCACGGACACCCAGCTTGCTTATGCCTTATTTACACCTCTTTGATAGCCCTCACCATCCCCACTGCTTGAAAGGTTTGACGGGAGGAGAAGGGAAACCTTGTGGCTCCTTTTCTTCTTCCTTGCAATTTCCTTGGACACCCATTTCTAGGAAGGCAGCAAGTTTTCAGCAGAGCTGCTGAGAAGAAGGGAGGACCAAGGAGACTTTCCCACATCCTTCCTCGGGGTTGGCGTTGCACTTTCTGGCTTCCCATGGCAGGAGACCAGGGATCTGCCCCCTACCCTTGCAGAGTTGGAAGAGGACGGTGGGAAAAAACGGCTGGGCTCTCCGTAGTTCCAAGGACTGTATGGTTGTTAGCCTGCCAGTGGCCCTGTGTAAGGGACCTGAAGGAGCTCTTGTCCAACAACCCATCCAAAGTACTTCCAACATCCTAAATGGTAATATAACTCTTGCTCTTAAATGGCTTATTTCCTGTAGGGATCAGTATTCCAGGATGATCACAGAACAAGAGAACCTCGGAAAGGTAGGAGTGGATGAACGTTATTGATTTCTGTTTTGGACCAGAGGCGTCCAAACTTGGCCACTTTAGGACACCAACTTCAACGCTCAAGAGTTCCCCAGTTAGCATCACCGGGAGTTGAAGTCCACAAGTCTTTAAAGTGACCAAGGTTGGACATCCCCGATTTATACAGAGCCTAGTAGGCACAGCTCCTAAAGCCCATTCAGATTTAGACTCAGAGAAGTTGCCTTCTTAAAATAAACTACACAAACATTGGCAAAGTCAGCTTCCTACAGATATTGCCTGAGCTACTGGACTATCACTTACAAAAGCCATCTGCAAAAAAACTCACAAAGAAGGCATTGCTTCGCCAAATCAGTGGCACACACAGCAGTTGGCCGCAGATAAACACAGTATTCAGTGGCGCGCCGTCCTATTTTTGCAAAAAGGACCTGCAATCCATATTCTATCCCTTTCTTGGCAGTTGCCTTTGGAGCAGCATGTAGAAAGAATTCATTTTTCAAACCAACTGTCTTTGATGTTCTTTAAAAACCGGTCATGTACATGTTGCTCTTCCCAAGGAGAGTTCTGTCTTTGTAATTTTTAAGACGGTGGTCTCGAATTTCCAAAATATGATTTTAATCCGCTGTGCGGTCTTGAGCTGAGCAATTCTCTAAACTTTTTCTGATGTTGTTTAATGCAATCACGTAAACCTTTTTTTAAACAAAATGATAAACAAGAAAGGGAAGCCAAAAAGAATAAAGGTATGAAGATGGTTTGGAAGTCCTTATATGCAGGGGTGGGTTCCTACCGGTTCTGTCCATCTCTGTAGAACCGGTAGCTCTGAAGAGCAGCAGACATAGAACCGGTTCTATGTCTGCTGATGTTTTTGCCCACCCACCCACCCACCCGGGCTCTTACCTGATCTTTATTTCCTGATTTTTCAACTTCAGCTGCCGAACGAGGCACAGCTGCAGTTAAAAAATAAACAAGAAAAGAGGGCTGTTTCAAAGGCTGCTTCTCGGCAGGCAGCTGATGACGATTTACAGGATGCAGCTTGTAAATCCCGAACCGGTAGTAGTTAACCCTGTCGTATCCCACCCCTGCTTATGTGCTTTAAAACTCTCCTTTGGCCCTGGGGTTGAAGTAGTACTTCATTTCGTTTTGAAGCGACATAGTTAGCTGCTGAAGACTTCTGAATAAAGGCCCCTGGGGACAGTAAGTAAATAAACCCATGGATCAGGACCACCTAGAAGTGGAGCTCTTGTCTCACATTCAGGAGGCTGTGAATTCGGTCCTAGGTAGAGGCAGATATTTCTCTCTCTCTCTGGGCACAATGAGAATTGATCTGCTGAACAAAACTCCACGCTGGTGACAGGAAGGGCATCCGGCCAGTAAAAACTCAGTTCCCTTCAGTTGCCCAAACTCCACCCCGCAAGGGATTACAGGGTCATTAAAAGAAGGTGATGATCAGGACCCTTCCCTAAACAGCATATCCCTCTCTCCCTCCTTCCCTCTCTCCTCCCTTCCTTCCTTTTTTCTTTCTATCAGAAACTGCGTGAGAAGCAGAAATCTGTCCGGGAAAACCACGGCCCCAACCTGAAGCAAGTCAAAATGTGGCGAGACCTCCAGCTTCTGATGGAGTGCAAGAGAGAATGTTTTCTCAAGCAACAGAACCCGGCCACGGTGGGCCAAGTCATCCAGGAAGACGGAGAAGACCGGCTGGTCTTGTGAAAGCAACCTGCCCGGCATCTAGGTCATCCCAGACAGCCATTCGTCCTCCAGCAAACCCGTGGCGAAGGTTGCCCGGGGTTTACGATGGTTTCGATGCCAGTGAGATTTGTCTCGCTTCGGGGAGTGTAGCTAAAAAGTTCTTGACCCAACTAGAACAGGGTTTTGGGTGGGTGGGCTTCATTTGTTCCTCTTTAGAAGGAGGGGAAATCTTTATATTTATTCTGCTGGTGGATGGACCGGCCTTCCCTCGCTTGAGAGTCAGATGAGCGGTTAAAGCATCGAGAAGGTGGCACAGGTGCAATCCCATTCCAATTCAAGAGGCACCCCAGGGAGACAAAAACCAGTTTGGACGTCTGGGGTTGTAGATGATACGACACCAAGCCAGGTTCAAGTCACACACAGGTCCTCGCCAACCAGGGAGCATCGTTTTCAACATCAGCTTCCTTTTGGCCCCAAACAGTAATTTCCCTTTCACAATTCCGGTAATCCAAGTGAAGGGGGGGGGTCTTTTGAATTTTTGAAGGGGGGAAAAAAAAGTGCACAAAATGACAAGGACGTTGTAGACCCAATTTCCCGTAGCTCATAAATGGTGTAAACCATGATCATCTCTGCGGGCCTTGATTCTCCTTGGACTCACCTGGTTGCCGAAAGACCAAACCACAGGAGACACAATTTCCTTCGTTCTCCTGGATCCAAACCAAAAACTTCAACCCCTTTGGAACCTGAAATTCCTTGGCCTTTTCTCATTCCCTTGGTTTTTAATGGCCCACTTCCAAATGTTTATTTTTGAGTTGAACTTTTTTTTTTCAAAGATTCCCTTCTCGGGCTTTTTACATGGCCGACTTCCTGGTTGGCGTTCTGCATGCAATCCCCTTGCCTCGCTCCAAACCGGCTGATCCTGGTTGGTCCTTCGCCTCGAAGACAATAAAGTTATTTGTAGCGTGTCTCTTTCCACGTCGTCTCTGGGCATTCATTGAACCAAATCCCTGCGCCGGGGAAACAAAACGTTCCATTTTCTGCCGGAAACTCATAAAACTGGTCTTGCCGAGGAACACAAATGAATCCTACATGGGCATTGGCGTTTTTTTTAGGTGCACCGTTGAAGGAAGAAAAAAAAAATGAAGTGACGCCTAAATAAATGCGGCGTGAAAAAGCAGGCTTCGAGAGCTGGATTTGAATCTTACCCATCCTCAATGTCAGGATCACGACCGGGCAAATTGTATCCTCCAACCTTAATGTCCTCTTCCTTTTTTTTTTTAAAGTCGGGTTTTTTAAAATTTTATGTATGTGTGTATATATTTTGAATACAGTGTATTGTCCGGGCATATAGGAGAAATTTCCTGACAGAACAATTAATCCGTGGAACAGCTTCCTCCAGAAGTTGTAAATGCTCCAACACTGGAGGTTTTTAAAAAGAGGTTGGATAATCATTTGTCTGAAGCGGTGTAGGGTTTCCTGTGTTAGCAGGGGGTTGGACTGGAAGACCAATATTTCCTTGCTTTCATACATGTCCACCACATAGGATAATAAGTACCTGGAGTCTGATTGCATTGCCAACGTTTGACGGACACGTTTAAACATTTTTGCTAATCTTGCGGGTTGAAGTTAATGTCCTCTTCTTGAACGCGTTGGTGTGAGCCAGTGAATACAAGTCCAAAGGCAGTAATTATACCGCACACTGTAGACAGCTGTGGAAATGCCCTTGAAGAGAATATTCAGATGTCATTCCCAAAAGCAAGAGGAAGCACTGCTTAAGCCCTGGAAAAGGAGATAGTATCACGAAGAGGCTCGGGATGTTTTCTCTCAACTCCCTGGGTGCATAAAGGAGCCAGTTTGGACCGCTGGTTAAGGCACCGGAAATTTCTGAGAAGGGGTCAGGAGATTGCCGAAGCCTCGTAGCCCCCCAGGGAGGATAAATTTAAACCTGGTCTAATTCAATCAATGGGGGAAAGAACCAGGGAAGGCTTTGCTCGGCTCGAAGGTGTGGAAAGACGTATTTTGGCAGAGGGGCAGGAAATATAAATAGATTGAGGAAGGGTCTCGGCAGAAATTAGTTCAGGATCTGCATCCTGAATAACTGTTGAAGCCTCAGTGGCAGTTTAATGGGGACTTGGGAGGTTCACTGACATCTGAAAATCCTACCCCAGGAGACGCTTAAATCACATTATTCTCCACTAAATCATTCTAGCTCTAACGGAGCCTGCAGCAGCTGCATTTTGGAAACCTCTAAGCGGTGATTAGGGTTAGGCCTGAAAACATACTGCTCCCTTCTTCAGTTGTATCTTAGGGGACAGGCCATTGCAGAGAGAATTTCCTTCTTCTCCGTTAGGGTTAAACGCATGGTTGAAATAATGATCTTGGAAGGCCCTTATCTTGACAGGCAAAAATGCCATTTAGACTTAATAATAGCACTATAATGCTATGCGGTTTTGTTTCCCAGTTTCGTATCATCTTATTTTGATTTTCCCAACAGCCCTAATGGACGGGAGGGAGGGAAGGAAAGGAAGGAAGGAAGTCAATAGGTGAGATTAAACTCAAACAAGGGTCTTCTTTCGTTCTTTTAAGACACTCTGCCTCCCTGGACTAGATAGAAGAGCTCCATGGTCCCTTCAGATCTGTTATTTTGATGGAAACGAATCAAGGAGAGAAGCAACTTAGAACTAAGGAGAAATTTCCTGGCAGTTAGAATAATTAATCAGTGGAGGAACTTTCCTCCGGAAGTTGGGGCTGCTCTCACACTGGAAGTTCTTAAGAAGAGACTGGACAACCATCGGCCTGAAAGAAACATTAGGACCCCTGCTTATGCAGCGGGTTGGACTAGATGACCTCCGAGGTTCCCTTCCAACTCTGGAATCCCGGTAAAACTGGGCACTTTTTGCAGCAGCAATACTGGGTCCTCTGGAACCCCCATCCTGCAAAGCCCCCCCCCTTGTGCTTTCCGCTCCCCCCCCCCCACCCCCTGTTTTGCAAGCCCGTTTGAAGTGCTGCGTCATTCCTGCTGCCCTTCCGAGGAGCGAGCCGATTACGCACTTCCATCAGCATCCCGAAATGACTTTTTTTTCTCATCTCAGCCGATGCAGAAAATTACAATTATCCCCCTTCCCCAATGGGAAGCGAAGAATTCTGGAGAAACGGATAAAGCGGGCTATCTTTAGCTCTGAAGAAAAGTGACACTCGGTAATGCGGCTTTTAATGCGCTGCCCTCCACTTCCCTGGTTTCTTAATTTGGCCGGGGCGCCTTGGGAGGAAGCAGGCTTTTGAGGAAGTGTGACAACTTAGCATTCAAACTCCAGCTTGGTAATGACAAAGCCCATTAAACAGGCCTCCTTAAATTGTCTTTTCTCTTTGCAATATATTCTAGGGGGTGGGATTATTGATGACTTCTTTGGGAGCTTCCAAGGCGCCTCTTGGCTGTCCGTTGCTAGAATGAACAAGCGGTCTAAGCAAAATAACAGAGCTGGAAGGGAGCCTGGAGGTCTTCTAGTCTAACCCCCTGCCCAAGCAGGAGATCCTATATCATTCCAGGCAAATGGCTGCCCAGTCTCTTCTGAAAAAAACCTCCTGTCCGGATTCCAGCAATTGCCCTGATGAAATCATGATTCTCGAGCCAAGCTTCAAAAAGCTTCCAAAGCTTCATTAGAGGCGACATGCTGGCCTTGCCCTGCGTGAAGCCAACTCTGGCATACATTATTGACAGCGGCCTGTGACCCTGTTTCCCCCCTCCCCTTTGGGTGCGTCATAAATCAGATTCTCCAACTGAGCATGTTCAGGGCTGGGTGTCCTCAATCACGTTCTCCGATTAAATCTATTCGCGGGCAAAAACTCTGGTAGTTTAGCTACAATCTTTTAAAGAGAAGAGTTGGAATGTACTTTCGCTTTCAACTGCTCTTCCAGATTTCCTTCTACCCTCCCCCCACCCTTTTTTTTTTTTTTAAAAATGGCAACTCAAATATTGGAAGACTGCTATCATGTCCCCCCTGGTCCTTCTCTTCGCCCAGTTCCTGCAACCGTTCTTTATATGTTTTAGCCTCCACGCCCCTCATCGTCTTTGTGGCTTGTTGATCAGTGCAATATACAGTAATTAAAACAAAGAAAGACAGAAACGAGCCAAGCCTTTTCACAAATTGACCGTATAATTGTACGGATCTGAGATGGCTTAGCTTTTAGGGAAGATAAGCTCCCAAAGGACCAGACTTTTCAAATCACCAGCTGTTGTTTTTTTTTTTTTTTTTCCATTGTAAGGTATACCCTGAAGAAATTTTGGCAACTGAAAACCTCAAAGCCGTAAATTGGCCGAAGGAGAGAGAGAGAGAGAGACTTGCTTTCCCTGAGTGCAGTTTTTTTCTTCTTCTGAGCAATCAAAGACCGTTTTTGGATCATCCTTGGCAACTGCAAATGAAAAAGAATGAAGATCACAAAAGAAAAGAATTAACCGAGCCAGGAAATCGATGCTTCGTACCCCAACCGTTATGCAGGCTATCCCCTTGTTTAGTCAACTTGAATGCAGAATATATTATGAGAAACTCAGGGGTAGAAAAACTAGACAGTGGAATTAAAATTTCAAGGGGAAAAAAACCCCGATCTAACTACTCCGTTTTTTGGGGAGGGTGGGGGAGGAAATCCTTCCAGGTTTCTTCTACATCAAAACAGCCCCTTAAAACTAGCCAGCCAGAAATCCATTGCAATTACAATGAAATGCAATTAAATTCAAACTGAACTGGGAAGACACCATTGTGGAGTCTTCGAGCTTTAGGGTCCGTTTTTTTTCCCTCTCTTCCCCCAACTAAGCTGTAGAAGAAATATGACCCTGTTGTCCCCCGTCCATCCATCCGTCCGTCCGTCCCCCCCCTTTCTTTGATGACTCAGGGATGTCAAAACAAGTGGCCGGCTTTTATTCTAACACTTCATGAAGAATTCGATTGAAACTCTGTATGTCCAGATAACGTCGGACAAAGTGGCCCTCTTGCCTTTTGTATTTTGTATTTTGTATTTTTTTTTTTTTTTTTGGTTTCAAGATATTTTTGGAAACAGCACAAGTGGCCTTGGCACGCTGCAGCGGACTTTTTTTCCAATTTAGGATTTTGCAGCTGGCCCAAAAGGGAAATCAGAATATTCTTGAAACATTTTTTTTAATTGGTGCGTGAAAACTTGCGGCGAGTATTGACGTAGGCAAGGTCTGAGAACTGTAGCTACTCTTGTGTGCAAGAGGTGTGTGGATGTGGGCTTAGTTAGGCATCTGTCAACAAGCTACTCCTGGGTGTCCTTTTTTAGTGTTTTATAGCTCGCATTTTGCTCGTGGTCAGAACGTTGTTTATGTCGTTTGGATGGAATAACTATTTTGCTTCTCTGCTGTTTTGTTCCTTTGGAAGCCATCTCAACCAGGAACTGGATTTTGGGCTACCAATATTGGGAGCCAGACTGGATGTGAAGTCCAAATGACAAGAGCTTGCCCTTGGAAGTTGTGGAAGCGCCATCCCTGGAGGCTTTCAAGAAGAGATTGGACTCACATCTGTCAGAAATGGTGTAGAGTCTCTTGCTTGGGCGTGGGGTTGGACTAGATGACCTACAAGGTCCCTCCCAACTCTGATTATCTGTTCCTGAGCCTGTGATTTTGGTTTGGCGTTCTGGTTTTGGCTTGCCTCGTCTCCTGTCCGAGCTAAATTCCTCACAGGGGGTGAATTATGATATCATTCCTCATCTTGAACAATGGCGAGATTTGTACCAAAATATAATGAAAATGAAGGCGAGCCACGCCAAGCATTCATCTTCAATTTAGGGTTTTAGTTTCATAGGAGGCCTCTCGGATTGCAGATATATAATACCGGGTTTATTTGGATTACGCTTCTACTCCAATGTGCCAATCTTTACTTTTAACCTAGGCAGGAAAACTCGTAAACCGTAATGCAGAAGAAAGAAAAAGGAATTGTTTAAATCAAATCCCCGTAGATCCT